CTGCCGGCTCATATTTAAGTGATTGTCCACTAGGACTCCGAGGTCCCATCAAGTTCACATGGTCTCCAATCTTGCACAAAGCAATGAGGGGTAGCTGCAATAAAACCAGTAATAAAACATTTTACAAAACCAGATTAAAACAATAAAACATAAGTAAAAAGAAGACTACAGCGGGTGAAAAGGCTTGTCTCCTGTGTCCCATCAGATGAAACTCCTTAATAGATGGGACCTGCAAAATGTCCCTCCTGCGAGATGTGATAGGATAACAGAATAATACAGTTGAAAGAGACCTTGGAGGTCTTTTGGTCCAATATCCTGCTCAAACAGGTGACCCCTATACCTTAGAGACAAGTGGTTGTCCAATCTCTTCTTAAAAACTGGAACCCTCACAACTTTTGAAAGCAAATTGTTCCACTGGTTAATTGTTCTAACTGTCAGGAAATTTCTCCTAAGTTCTAGGTTGCTTCTCTCCTTGATTAGTTTCCATCCGTTGCTTCATGTCCTGCCTTCAGGTGCTTTGGTTGACCCCCTCTTCTTTGTGGCAGCCCCTGAGATATTGAAACACTGCTATCATGTCCCCTCTAGTCCTTCTTTTCATTAAACTAGATATAACCCAATTTCTGCAACCGTTCTTCATATGTTTTAGGATGGGTAGATGTAATCAGGGGGAGGTAGTCCTTCACATAACCCATCCCTATGCTATGTAGGGTTTAAAAAAAATGAAAACCAGCACCTTAAATTGGGCCCAGAAGCAAAGTGGTAACCAACCAACTCAGAATGCATCTACCACATGCTCTTGAAATTTAAAACTGTCCTTTGATCCAAGAGATGATCACTACTGTACTTTCACCATATTTTCTAGCATATGGAGCCTCTGTGCATATTTTCCTTTAATTTATGTTGCTGAATATAAATTGCTCAAGAAATCTTTTTAAAATGCAAATTGCCCTTCTTTCATTCTTTGACATGTCAATTTCTCCAGTTCTTTAACGTATTTTCTCCCCATTGTAAATTCTCTCTATCCTTCCTAGTATAGCTAGTGTTATTTGTTTGCAACTATCTGTTCTGCATCCTCTTTTCAGATACTTTTCAGGTAAATTAAACCTCCTAAGTGAATGGCAAATGTCAGCATCACTTGATGTTAATATGCTTTGCAGCTGCGAACTTCTACTGACTCCCGAAGGGATCTATGGCATATATACATATTTGTAGCTTTTGAATATTTAAGGCCAGACTGCGTACTTTGACTAAAATCTGGAAATCCCTGTTTTCACATCTTTGCAGAATGAGAAATAGCATAAGCAGGAGCTCCAATTAAGTTAAAAGATGTGTTGCAAGTTTCTCTGAATTGATTGATGTGGCAAGTGGACAGATTTGGGTTCAGTTTTTAATTCTGCAGTACAGGAAGACCTCGACCTACAACCACAACTGAAGCCGCCAGAATTTTCATTGCTAAGCAAAGTGGTTGTTAAGTGAGTCACATCTGGTTTAATGATTTATTTATTTTTTGCTAGAGAGAGAGAGAGAGAGAGAGGGAGAGGAAGAGGGAGAGAGAAAGAGAGAAAGAGAGAAAGAGAGAAAGAGAGAAAGAGAGAAAGAGAGATAGGTAGGTAGGTAGATAGATAGATAGATAGATAGATAGATAGATAGATAGATAGATAGATAGATAGATAGATAGATAGATAGATAGATAGATAGATAGATAGATAGATAGATAGATAATACAGTTTTAATGCTGGTCTGTTACCATAATTAAAATTGATTGATTGATATAGTTTTAATGCATTAAAATGCTTTTATTGCTTTATTTGTTTGTTAAGCTTGCAATCTGCCCCAATCTGCAGATTCTAAGTAACATAAAACAAAGTAGAATATAGAATATATTAACAATATACAGGTAGCTCTCGACTTATGACTACAACTGAGCCCAGAATTTATTTTGCTAAGTGAGAAATTTGCTAAGCGAATTTTGCCCCACTTTACAACTTTTCTTGCCACATTTATTAAGTGAATCACTGCAATTGTTAAATTAGTAAGATGGGGGTTAAATGAACCTGGTTTTCCCATTGACTTTGCTTATCAGCAGGGTGCAAAAGATAATGACATGACTCTGGGACACTGGAACCGTCGTAAATATGAATCAATTGTCAAGCATCTGAATGTAAACCATGTGACCATTGGGATGAGGCAGTGGTCACAAGTGTGAAAAATGGACATAAATTACTTTTTTCAGTGCCATTGTAACATCAAACGGTCACTAAATGTACTGTTGTAAGTCAAGGATTACCTGTATCAAAAGAAATAAACCTTCCCACCCACAGATGGATACACATAAACATTCAACAGGGATTAAAGATTTGGTGAAATAGATTTCTCTACTTTATGAAACTTCAGGAGGAAGGCTCCCCTCTGGGCAAAGGCCAAAACAGAAGGCTTATTACCTATTCCACATACCACATTTCTCTTTTATATATATATATATACAATTTTATTAAAGATTTTTTTTAAAAAAAGAAGATAAATAAAAAACTAATGCAAACTAATATAAAATTACAAAAAGAAAAAGAAATCAAAAAGAAAGCTCACAGTACAAGAAGGGGAGAGAAGTAAAAGGAAAAATAGAAAAGAAAGAAAAAAGGTACAACTTCTTTACAGCAGTTATAAATGCAATTATACATTTACTTCTTACTCTACAACCTAACACTCGTCTTTCTGTAATCAGTCTGTCTGATCATTAAAACCAGAAATCCTGTTTATTTTTTATTTTTTGTCTTTTATGCGAAAAGGAGTTTTCACTCAACAGTAAGCTTAGATATTGTCTTTTCTCAGATCAAAGAAGTCAATTTAGCCATCTGAGCAAGTTCCATTATTTTCACCAACCATTCCTCTATTGTGGGTAGCTTCAAATCTTCCCATCTTTGTGGAACCAAACCTTTGTATCTTTCCCACATTTTGCATGGAAGGCCATGCTTTGCAAGTCCTCCACTTATGGACAGATTTGATCTGGGCAAAGCACTATCTGATACATCCTGCCACTTACGCCATATAGAGCTTTGTAGGTCACATCCAATACTTTGATTTAGGCCTGGAAATCTGGTGGTAGCCAGTGCAGTGATTTCATGATCACCGTTATCCTGCAATGGCTGAATTGGCCCACTATATTGGCCCACTAAGACTTTTTTTTTTTAAATATTAACAAATAATTTAATTGCTGACAGCAGTCATCATAAAAGCACAATGATTCCTGCAATCAGATCAACTCAACATTATAATCACTTTATAGTACATTTTTTTTTACAAATTAACTACATTTACAGAAACAGATCTAGAGTTTAATGCAACATTGTTTTCGGATCAAAACCTGAACAATAATTAGCTATGCCTTTGCTTCAGAAGTTCATCAATCTGAGTCTTGTACATATTTTTTACATCTTCAAGATCCAATCTCAATTCTTCTGCTACTTCTGCTTTCTCTCCATACATCTGCAGAATGGTATTGTATCTCTGATCCAAATCCCTTAATTGTACATGTAACTTGGGGATCTCCTTAATTTTTTCTTCTAAGTCATCATTTTGATTTGTTAACTTCACCAGCTCTTCAGCCATTACCGATCGAGTTCTTTCAAGGTTTCCAATTTCCAACTGGAGATGAGAAATCTCTCCATCCCGTAATTTTAATTTTAAACACTCTATAAAGTGAAGAAACAATTGTGTTGCCTATAGCAAAAAAAACAAGAGCAATCATTATTTTTGGATCCTCTTAATTCCCAGCTTTTCATAGTCAAGTGAATGGCAGTTTCACCCAGCAATTTGCACTCAAGCTCTCTCCTATAATTTTCGATGGAACACGATTAGATTGACTTGGCAAGAATGATAAACGACCTTTGTTACAACGGTGGCTAACAGCTCTACAAAATTAATGGGATTTCTGGTTGGCGACTGCAAATCTGCTATTATTAAAAAATAATTTGTCATGCTGGATTAGAGGACAGGTTCATCAAAGTCAGCTAACCTATTTTTTTTGGGGGGGGGACTTGAGGAGCTTTTGTTTTTTTGTCATTTAGTTGTTAGGGGTCCTTGGTCTTTGCTTAAATTGTTGTTGGTAAAGTTTGAAAAGTGTAGATTTGGGTTGAGAGTAAGAAAGTTATTCTTGTCACAATATGCGTGGAAAAGCTGCCTCAAGTCTTAGAAAGGTATTATATGTACGTTGCACGTGGCAAATCTCAGATTCAATTCTTAACACCGCCAAATGGAATTGGCAAAACATTCTTGCCTAAAACTCTGGAGAACTCCTTCATGCAAACAAACTTACTCTTCCAAAAAGAAAAAAAATATAATTATAATGACAAGAACACCATCTGATTGTTATGAACATATTGAATAGAGGGAAATAAAGAGTCTTTTAGCTCTCCTGAGATATAAACTGTTGTTATTGAATCCTGATTCCATGAATACAATATTCAATTTCTGAAGCTTCTTTTCTCGCAGTGGTAAACCTAGATGCCAATAACAGCAAATGGATTCAGTCTATGTAGCACGTTATATTGAAGATACCTGCAAAGATGAATAGAAAATCCAATAAATGTTGATATTTTAAAATTTCCACTTATTTAGATTAAAATGGGGGAAAGGAAGACCAAAGCAAGCTACTAAGGACAGAAACTTCATAAATTCATACCAATAGCTCTGGAGTCTTTCAGCCAATGGTGATCATATAGCTTCATATAACAACTGGCTTCATTCAAGCAAGCACCCACAGGTCCTTCTCACTAACCCAGATAGAGTCTTCAGGTCCACACTGGAGATGCATTTCAGACTGGCAAGATTGCTAACGGGAGGCAGCAGATAGCAAAGGAACAAAAGGAGGTGTTTTTTGATGCCCATGAATGTGTTAACCCAGAATTAATCTGTGAAGGCAAGAAGCCTAAGGCGAATGCAGAGGGCCATTTTGTCTGAGGTAAAATGCATTTGCTTCACCGTGTCTTCTTGTTTCTTTCCAGCCTTCAGACACAATGAGTGTCCTGATCCAGGAGTGCCGGTCAATGGGAAGCGCTTTGGTGATAGCCTCCAACTTGGCAGCTCAGTCTCTTTCCTATGTGATGAAGGCTTCATAAGGACCCATGGCTCAGAAACAGTCACCTGTGTCTTGAAAGAAGGCAATGTAGTTTGGGATAATGCAGTCCTGAGATGTGAAGGTAAATTACCACGTTGGCGTGTCATTTTCTTGGTTGTAACTTTTAAGAGAAGGTGAGAAATGAATATAAGAAGTATCTATGGAATGGGGGCCTGTGAATTTTGATGCAAACTGATGTAACTGCTATGGCATCTGGAGGGTGAGGGGAATCAAAGAAGAGAAGATGGTAGCTGTGATCAAATCCCCGCCAGCTGTGATGACACCTGTATATAAGTGGGCAGTCTTCAGTCATGTGGTTGCGGACAGCATCTGGACTTTATAGCCCCCTCCCCATCTCTTGGATAGCCTTGCATGACTTACAGCTGCTTTGGTAGAATCTCCAGCTAGATTGGAGGGAGGTGTTAAGAGGGTGATGAGCTTAGATTCTTCGCACTGCAGAAAGCGGTGCAGGCCTGACTTCCCACAGAATCCTGGATGCTGTATCTGACCATTCACATGGGAATGCAGTCAGTTTGGTAACATTCATAAGTGACTAATGACACAGCTTCTGCTTGAGATGATTCACACACAGATCTGGCCGCTTGCACCAGACAAGCTGCTAGACTATTGAAAAAAATTACTGCACTCATGCTTTCTCTCTTTCTCTTTGGCCTTTTGTTCTATTAAGTTTTCAGTGGAATTTAATACTATATTTAGATGCAGGTAGGTTACATTAAAACGTTGTGAGATAAACTACATTTCAGTATTCGTTTTTATGAGTGTAATTCCATGCCTTCTTGATTTCTTAATGGAGTTTGGAAATGACTAAAGATGAAATCATCCCAAATGGAAAAGAATTCAGTTTATTGATCCCTTGAGCTTAACTTAAGTCAGCTTTAGTTAGCTTCATTCCCTTAATTCTGTACACCAGGCAAAATTACCAAATGAAATATTCTCCCACCAGGAAAAAAAAAAAAAGCTGTAACTGAGGAATAGTATCCCTCTGGAATACCCTGCCACCAAGGATGTTAATGACGAGCATAAGGACAGATGGAGAGTTTCAACTGAAATCCTACACAGAACGCTTCTTGCCCAGGATTTTATTAAATTCACTTATTACTCAGCTGCTGAGTTGTGGGTCCCCCAGGACTAATCCAGTGCAAATACTTTTTTTATGAAACAATGGTCCCATCAACCAATGTTGGGGATTATTGTTATAAGATTTAGTTTATTTAGGAAGATAACATTTAATTTCAAATAGTGTATCAATTTGCACCCAGCCAAAAAGCATGGCAGTCACACTAGAACTGATGCATTGAATAAAAGAATAATTCGGAAGACTTCTGAATCTCATTTATCTGTCTAGAATATTTAAGGTGCTGTTCGACATTTGAGGAATAAAAACCATCAGCAGAATGGGCAAAGCAAAGCATCTGGGTTTGAGAAAATGGGTGGAAAAGTGTTGCTTCACAAAAATGTGGGAGACAATTGGTGGGTTATGCTCTGGAATTTGAAAATTATAGAGTTTTGGAAATTTTATTTGGAAATTATACAGTTTGACTACTGGGGGGAAAAAATGGGAGATTATGCTTTCAAGAAAAGATCCAGGAAAATCAGATTCTTTTTTTAGTGAATTTCTTTCTTAGGCATGCATAAGCTGTCAATTATTTTTTTTCCCTAAAGCACAATGTTTGAATTACATATAATCTCAGTCTCACAAGGAATAAAATACAAGGTATTTTTTCCTTACTACCCTAAGAACCACTAGCTTAATTAGCTCCTAGCCAACTTTTGCTAAGCCATCAATCATTGACAGATGTGTTTTACCTGTACCAAGTCTCTGTTCATTCACGGCTCCTTGCCTGAAATCCCGACAAGCCATCACAAGCCAGCATCAGTCATGCTGACCTAACTAATACCCATAACCCAATTTAACATAGAAACTCTGAGGCAGTCAGACAAGGCTAAGCTACAACTCCCAATGGGCTTTCCTAGCAATACTGATTGCAGGCCAGCAGAATCTTGAGAGCTGCAATTTAACACCATATGTGACCTGGTGAGTGACAAGGAAAAGCCACTGTGTCTCACAGTTACCATTTGTTCATGGCCACTGGACTGCCATGCTTGCAACCGTTTTTGCAAGGCATCAACTACAGGACCCTCACCTTTTTCCCACCCCTGGAAGTTCTACTAACGGTCTGAGACATTGAGGACCAGTCTTTCAGCTTGGTTGATCCCTGGATTCTTAATAAATATGGAGAGAGCCTTCTGTGACAAAATGAAGCAGAAAGGAGAAGTGTGCTACTGTTTTACAGTATTGCTTTTTTTTTTTTTTTTTTTACTGATAGTCGGTTGTAACTTCTTTATTTTTCTCCCTCTCCCTGATAGCTCCCTGTGGTGGCCACCTGACCTCGCCAAATGGAATGATCCTGTCTCCAGGGTGGCCGGGATTCTACAAGGACTCTCTCAACTGTGCATGGGTCATTGAAGCTCAACCAGGGTACCCAATCAAAATCACATTCGACAGGTGACCAACAATTTACTCCTGTCAATAAAATTACGTTGTTGGACATGCCCTGAATGGCAGCTGGGTTATAAATTGTCTTGGAGAGTCCTTGGTGTGTTCTCTGAGCTTGGTGGTTTTCTTGCAGTCATTTCATTACCCTTAACAGCACTAGAAGGAAGCGGTTGATGTTACCTAGCTGGATAATAAAATGACTGGAAGAAAACAGTCAAGTTCAGAGAGCGTCAAGGTCCCACAGTTCAACTCTGAGCTGCAAATATTCTTTTATATTGGTATAGATCAGTAGTGGCAAACCTATGGCACGGGTGCCAGAGGCGGCACTTGGAGTCCTCTCTGTGGGCACACGCACTGTCTCCCCAGCCCCACCTCCTCCCACAGCCCCCTTCTCACCAGCAGCTCCCCCGGAGGAGAGTCAACCCTGGACGCGGCCCACGTGAAGCAGCGCAGCCAAGGACATGGTAGCCGGGCAGCGGGGACAAGACTCTGCCCTTGTGCTCCGTCATGAACAGATGATGCTGCAGGGCATGGGCGGCGGGCATGGCCGCCATGGTGCTGCTGGGCTGCCTGGGTGATCTGTGGCGGGCTGTGGAGGTGGTGGGTGGCCCAGTGGGCATGGCGGAGCAGAGATGGGGTGGGGGGGCAGTTTTTGGGCACTCGGTCTCTAAAAGGTTCGCTATCACTGGTATAGATAGTCATTTTTAAAATAAAATAAAATTTACTATCCGGATTCTTTTTATATCTCTCTGCTTGTGCATGCGTGTATTAGGTTGTGAAAAACTTGGAAAAAAATGTTTTTGCAAAAAGGCTATGATTCATTTTTAAAAGCTGCTTCATTGAACCAAATGCCTTCCTTCACTGTTGAAAATAAAGCAAACTGTTGTATTGTGTTTCTGAGGTTTCTTCCATCATGAGGCCAATTTAGCTGTTTCTGGCTCTTGAGTGCCTAATGGAGGGAGATGGGATGGAAAATCTTCAAAATATATTTTGATTTGAGGGAGGTTTTGAGGGAATTTTTTTCTCTTTCAATGAATACGTCAAAGAAAACATTTAAACAAAAGAACTTGAAAAAAAATGAAAAACATATTTTACTCTTTTTCATGTTCCTTGTGCGTGTATATATATATAGAGAGAGATATACACACACAAACAGACATTAAGACACAATGTTAAGAGTCTAAAAAATCACTATTGTACAGGACACTGCTGTCAATGCAGTCATCGCTTCTAGAAATATGTTTTGGTTTAGCCATCACATAAAATTGAAATATAGATTGTCTGCATTCATAAACCCAAATGTTGGTTGCCCAGATTGGTCAGGCCCAAAGACGACACAATGAAATCCAGTCAAGTCCCAATTCTTTATTTGCTCATATCTAATAGACAGAACCTTGCCAGACTAAAGCTGTAACTTTCTAAGCTACCAGATGTATCCTGAGAGATATTAGTTGTAGCTACCCTGGACCTTTTCCTTCCTCCCCCATCCAGCTGGGGACTACGTTGTCTGTTAATTTGGGCTTGTCTCCAGAACGTGCTGCCTCTTCTCTGGGAAAGCTCGGTGCTGCCAAGACTTTCCTCGCTGTTTCTCCAGGTGCACATTCCATCACAAGAACATTTTAAATATTTTAAAGATAGATTTTGAATGGAAAGTGAAATAACCCCTTTTCATGGCATGCTTGCCTTTCTCCAGACATGCTACAATTTTTGTTCTTTTTTCTTTGTGCTGCCCACTTTCTCCTAGTTGTCATCTGATTCAGAGAATTTTGGGCATTCCAGATGTAGTGCAGATAAAAGGGAGAAGGCATCTGAACAGCTGGAGCTTAATGCTTTCTCTTTAGTATGAATAACAAGAGCTGACAAAAGTCTTTCTCAAGGGATTCCAGTCAGAGGCAGACAGCCCAGTGGCTCCTAGGGAAGCGGACATATTCATAATGGTGCTTAGTGTGGAATGCAAATCCCAGGAAGGGAATTAATTATTTCATCTAGTTCATGTTTTTCTACCCTTGGGCCTTTCTGCTTTTTTTTGCTGCTCTTTTAAAATTGGTTCTGTTTCATGTTTTATCCTCTGTTCAGGGTTATTGATCTTAAGTTGCCGTGTGTTTTAATCACAGGTTATGGTGTTGTTTTTAGAAAGTATTAACTTTGTTTTGATTCTGTAAGCTGCTGTGAGAACTTCAGTGGTGGGAGCAGTTGATAAATATGGAAAAGGGAATAAAATTAAATGGGGGCTGAACATGGATAGGATAGGTTCGGCTCACTTTGGGGATCATATTTCACCCTCAGATATAAAAGAGGCAGTCGGCAACTTATAACCCAGGGGTCTTCAAACTTGGCCCTTTTATGACTTGTGGACCTCAATTCCCAGAATTCCTCAGCCAGGCACACTGGCTAAGGAATTCTGGGAGTTGAAGTCCACAAGTCATAAAAGGCCAAGTTTGAAGACCCCTGTTATAACCAGTCATTTAGTGACAACTCTAAGTTATGACAGACCCCACCCCCATATCTACTTATGACCCAATTTCAAAGTTCCACTGCCATCTACCCCACAGTCACATGACTGCATTTTAGACACTTGGCAACCATCCTATATTTATGGCCATTTGCAGCACCCAGGGGTCATGTGACCACAATTTACAGAGGTTTTGCTAAAAACCAGTGTTTACTTCTGGTTTCCAGCCACATCCCCCCCCAAAAAATGGCCCATATCAAACATATCATTTTATGGCCACTGCATTTGCTTAATAAGTGCTGCCAAAAGGGTTATAAAATCAAGTCTAATCAGTGGTGACCCACTTTACGATGATCACAGCTTATGAGCCTAATTGTGAGGCTTAATTTTGGTCATAACTGGAGGACTACCTATAATGGGAACAGAGAGGAGAGGATGAAAGGGGGCCAATTTATTACCAGCTTTTTGCTTGGCTTTTTTCTGTAGGTTTAAAACGGAGGTGAATTATGACACGCTGGAAGTGCGTGATGGCAAATCCTACTCATCTCCCTTGATTGGAGTTTATGATGGGACTCAGGTCCCCCAGTTCCTCATCAGCACCAGCAATTTCCTCTACCTGCTCTTCACCACAGACAAAAGTCACTCAGACGTTGGCTTTCAGATCCACTATGAAAGTAAGTAAGTTAGACCTTTTCCAATGTCATGATAGATCTCCTAAATCTGTAGAGCAGATCTTCTATGTATGCTTTTAATCCCAAATGTGCTAAGGACCTAAATCTCTACAGTGCTGGCTGCGGCTGTGGCACAGGCAGCTGGTACAAGTCCAGACAATGACACTCATGGTGTAACCTTCTCCCTTCAGGATGTTGTGGTCTTGATGGAAATACATAATTCTCATTACTTGCACAACTAGGTACTGTTGTATTAGCGATGTGGAAAACACTGTCCTAAGAGCAGGATGAATGCAAATGAAAATGTGGAAAGACGAAAGGAAGAAAAACAACAACGAGCACAATAGTACAATTGAATAATAGCAATAGCTGAATGTATTTAAAATCTAAGCACGGAGCAGAAATAAAAGAATCTCAATTGAATCCGAATATGTTCCATACAAATGAAATGCATTATAAGCTAGGCAACTCCTAACGCCAACTAAATTAATAGAATATCAAGCAGGTAACCACTTTGCAATAAAAAACAATAGGTAAATTAGACATTGTAAGTCAAGGGTATTAGTTAAATCAATGTAACTAATTAAATCAAGTAAAATTATACAATTGAAAAGCCAGAAGGCCTGTTATGGAGGCCCATCCAGGAGCTACCAGGAATTTCTTGTAATAAAATAGAATAACGGATTCATGAACGCTGTCCAAGGTTCTCTCTTATATTAAAAAACATCAAGATTTGGGTTATTTTGAGTTTCTTTCTCACTTTCGCTCTTTCTCCAGATGGTATAAAGTTCTCAATCACAAATCCCCTCTTAATGCCTTATTTGTTTCTTCTGAATTTCTCTGAAGGAGTTGGGCAGTTCAACAATGTGATTCATAAATAAATAACTCTACATTCTATTACCCAATCAGAGGAGCATTCCTGTTCCTCTAAATCAGGGATGGGCAATTAATTTTCCCAAAGGACCACATGAGAAACTGCCACCACCAAGGTGCCTTGCCACCACTCTGCCCCCTGCTACTGCCACTGCACCAATGTGCCACCCTCCATTACACCATTACAATTTTTGGTACTGTTAATGTATACAGAGTTAAATATAAGCATCTTCATCATATAGTTCAGGCCCTTTCAGTTGGCAATGCCCCAGCAATATCCTCCTCCTGAAAACCTCACCAGTCATTTGGCTACTATTATACTATTTATTTTATGTACATTGTCCCCGAAATATGGTCTATGATGATCATAATGAGGGCAATGATGTGTTTGTATTTCCCTTCCCTTTAAAATATTGTTAGCATTACGGCTTCAGGTTTACCATTTAATACACCAAATATACCCCATGCCATAATCAAAAAGCATGTTTCAAATCCCATTTCCATTCCATTCTGTATTATATTAATTCACATTAATTAAAAGAGCCTCATTATCAGCTCACAGTCAACACCAAAGGATCAACTAACAGCAGGACTATGCATTTTTTCCCCTCAAAGGTTCCATTAAACACAGTGTGGTGGTCTCTGACTTAAGTAAAGAAATGTAAAAAAATAATAATAGATGTTTCATTACAGTTCTAAATTTCACTGAACAGAATCAGGCTTTGAAATGGATGTAAATCTGACTAAACTGAACAGTACATACTTCTTCCAAAACATTGTTGGGTCCCAAGTTTAATATTTCTCAATACTGAATAGCATGGTGCAAAATATGTATTATTAGACAAAGAAAAAGTATCTATGTATCCCATCTTTTTATTGAGACCAAACTCACATGTTATTCAGGTTTAATGGCTGCCACGGGGAGGCTGGTTTTACTAATAACATATAAGCTCAGTACTATCACGTACAGAACTGAAAATTTGAATGCCTTTATTTTTTTTACAGCGGTAAAGCTCCAGTCTGATCACTGCTTGGATCCAGGGATTCCGGTCAATGGGCTACGATATGGGAATGATTTCTATGTGGGGGCCCTGGTGTCTTTCGGCTGTGATCCAGGGTATACCTTGAGCGATAGTGAAGCTCTGGAATGTGAACCAAATTTTCAGTGGAGCAGGCCACTTCCAAGCTGTGAAGGTAAGGATCTAAAACCGGCATGCTAGACACTGAGGAGAAAAAGATATGCTGTGCTAATTTATTCATCACCAGGTGTGGTGGAATGTAGTCTGGATTCCCAGGTGGGAAGAGGTGCCTTCCAGAGGGCAAAGAGGCAGCTAAGAATGGAGAGTTTAGTCAAGAGAAGTAGAGTTAGGAAGACTCCTCCTCCCAGAATTTATCTATAGTGATACAAATTGTTGCTTTAGTTTGGTAAGATTTCTAACTGTAAGTAAAGAACATAAAGATAACTACTCAGAAGTAGTTCCACATATCATACTTGGTTCTTGGGGGCCAAACTCCCAGGTCAGGATCTCTGCAATGTTCTTTCTTCCATATTACTGCATTCTTCCTCCCCTTCCCCTCCCCCAGTTGGTCTCATCTGACTTAAATCAAGAAAACCTGGATATCTACGATAGCCTGGTAAAGATCCAACTTGTTTCACAAGAGTGGTAAAATTTGTCTCTCATTCTTTAGTTAGATTACTGTGTCGAAGTGGAAATTCTGCTTAAGACCCTGGAATTCTGCTTACGAATATCCTAAGGGCTTGCCTTCTGCCACTTCAAGATTTTTGTAAGGGAATTGTATAGACATGTTTTTAATAATTCAATAAAGTAACTATAGCTGCCTGAAATCTTTCTTCGTGTAATTTTTAGAGGTTATCAAGCATCCTTTATAAGTATCTGAAGCCCCAAAGGATAATAGGGAGAGCCAGAAGCAATGGAAGGTGTTTCCAACATCTTTTTGGTTACAAAAATGAACTCTTCCAATAGGACAATGGTGGTGCCAAGATTCCAAACGGTGATCTCTAATGCAAAACTTTATTGAGTACAGCATATCGGCACTGATGAATAGAAAACCAGCTCTGAATAAAATGGCACCAGAGCACTATGTTAAAAGTATAGGACCTCCCTTCCCCGTTAATAGTGCAGGTCACATTCCCCAATTAAGTGTCAGACATTTGTTATGAGAAAAATCTTTAGTTCCCAGCCAACGGCTCTCTGATGACTTTGATTCTCACACTGGACCACTCACACCTGTGATGAGCATTCCAATCATCCCCCCCCCCCCAGTCTGTTGGCAAGCTAAGAAACAGCAATGGCTGAAGCAGAACAAGTTTCTTTGAAGCTTGACAGGTGGAATATAACTATTTCCAAGATTATTGTTACTAAAAGTCCTGGGCAGGAGGTGGTGATAAGGAGTACATAGGGCTGAGACCAACACAGTTCTTCTGTTTGGGACAAGTCAGACTTGGAGCTATGTTCAGCTCTATTTTTTTTGCATTTGATCAGAAAATTTGGGTGTACAAATGCAGAACAAAGGCAGAGATCTTATAGCTAAGGTCCTGAGTCATGGCATTCATGCAAGCTAGGAACAGGCAAGACTCCCAGTGATGCATTCTAATGTTCTTTGATCACCAGTGAATTAGCTGCAGGAGAACATACTTGTAAAATGATTACAATGACATGCTTGTATAGGTGTGACTGGACAACCAACAGTTAGCCATCCAGATGTGCTTGGGAAAGGAGGCAGAATATGTGGGTTGATGTATATGGCTTTACTAAGGAGAGACACATCTCCACAGCTGGAACTCTAATGTCTGCTTCTTTTTTCCTGATGGTTTTCAGCTCTCTGTGGAGGCTACATTCAAGGATCAAGTGGCACTGTGTTATCCCCAGGCTTTCCAGATTTCTACCCCAATAATTTAAACTGCACTTGGGTTATAGAAGCTTCTCATGGCAAAGGTAAGTCCTATGATTCTTCCATGTTTTCATCAAACACACACCCATGGAAAGTTAGGAGGATCTACCCCCACAAGACTCTTGGTATGCTCTAAAGAGCAGACACAGAAGCAAAAGAAGAGGAGTGATCATTCCACTATGCTCCATGGAGGCAAATTTGAACTCGAGATAGAAAAATTGAGAACAAAGAAGGCTGCTATTCCAATTTAGCTTAAAGAGTATAGTTTAGATCCACTTTCACTCTTTTGATGATCCCCTCACATCATTAAGAAAGCTTCATCTTCATGCATCTTTAGATACTTCCTATAACCTCCTCTGTTTCTAAGGTAAATGTTTGGAATACTCTTGGAACCCCAAAGTGCACAAAATATGTCTACAGTATAGTCATCTGCTTTGAGGCTCATCAGGCTCATCAGTAATTAAACATTGTGTTTATTTTTTTTTATTAATAGGCAACTGTAGAAGCCATAATATGCTACCTACAGTTTGAAAAAAATAGGATATCTCATAGACAGATAGTATTTTTATTGTTGTATGTATTGAACTGCTTCTTTTTTCTTCCTGTCTCCCAGCACTCTTTGTAATACCTTCCACCTAAATTTCCTTAAATCCTCTTTCTTTTGCCTTGGGTGGCTATCTCTTTGGTATGCATTTTGGCAAAACACACATTGTCCATTTTTTCCCACTCAGCATATTGTCTGGAGTTCTTTCCTTCTTCCTTTCCTGTTCCTCTGTTCTTTCATAAAGTGGAATTTGAAGAAATTGTGCTCCAAAGAGCTGAGGGAAAAAAGAGGAATTTAGGGAGGGAGGGAGGGAGGGGGAGAGAGGGAGAGAGAGAGAGAGAGAGAGATTAAGGAAAGGAGGAAAAAAAGAGGAATTGGAGGGAGGGAGGGAGGGAGGGAGGGAGGGAGAGAGAGAGAGAGAGAGAGAGAGAGAGAGAGAGAGAGAGAGAGAGAGAGAGAGAGAGAGAGAGAAATTGCACATTAATTTTGAACATCCTTCAATAGTTCAATTCCTCTAGTCTGCTAGGAATCAAGACAATGGGATCTATTATCAATCAATTCTGTGTTGCCAATTGTATTAAGGCAGATAAACCCAGTGTTGAAAAATGCAACACACTACTAACGAGTTACATGCTGTGCAGGGTATCCCACAGAGCAGAGCAATCTACTCTTCATTAATCCACTCAGCCCTGAAATCTTTCTTCTGATGAGAGGCTTCCCATTATCCTACTGCAATACTACGGCACATACCACATAGAGCCTGATCCTCTGCTCCTAAAATGTTATTCAAATGGTGCCTTCTTTTTGCTCAGATCAAAGTGTGGCTTTTGGCCACCCTTTGTGAGCAGCATTTGTAAGCCGTGCAGGGCAACATGCTTTCACAGCACCAGTTTTATAAATAGTTTATTTTGCAAATGCTAGGATCTCTCTGGTACCAGCCTTATGGGATCAGCATGCATTATGGCAATGCAGATGGGTGGTCTGTGATGTGCTTCCTGGCAGCACATGGCAGCAATCTGAAGAGGACAATAAAGTCAGAAAGAGATCAGACAGGGCAGGTCCAGTCTCTGATCCAGCAACCACTTCTCTGTATAATTAAAGGCTCTGGGCACCTACAAGGCAGAGTTCATGCAAAACATCACCACGTACAGTGATTTCAGGACCCTGGACAGCTATCAGGAATTTACAATGCGTTTTAAGCTCCATGTTTACTACTTCTCCCAGGCACTATATTTTTTCCTTTATTCTGGGAAAATGGGAATCCTGGGACCCCCAGCTCAAATTCCCATCATTTTGACCACATGGCTATCACAGGGGTTTAGTCAGAAAGCAGTAAATTGCCAGAAGAAAGACAGCTTCACGCCAGCTGCCAGTTTGTTCCAATCTAGGGCATGTTTTGCTATCTCTTGAAGCTTAGGATTCACAGAATAATAATAATAATAATAATAATAATAATAATAATAATAATAATAATAATAATAATAATAATAATAATAATAATAATAATAATAATAATAATAATAATAATAATAATAATAATAATAATAATAATAATAATATCAGATGTATGATACATTCACATCAGGAAAAAAAATGGTGATTAAAGCATCTAGAAACAGGACTGCTTCAGGATCAAGATAATGATTTGGCAAGGTAGGTTTGTTACTACCTCAGGAAATTCCCTGAAAATATAGATGTTTCCTCAATAGTTTTATTAAAAATGTCTCAGTGAAAAATTAAAGGGATTGGAGACAACCTGACCCATATCCAAAATCCAAACCAGGAGAAAAGTAATCTCCTTGGACTGAAAGGGCACTGGAAGATGTCTGAAATTTCCTGCTATATAGGTATAGAATGGAATCTCCCATATCTGACCATTGTGTCAAGCTCTCTGAATCTCGCTCGCGTAAATACCTCCCTAAGGTATTTTGGCAGTTGTAACTTCTAATAATAATTATTATTATTATTAATCTACACATCTTGAACTCACTCAGGTTGAGAATCACTGCTCTAGAAGGGCAGAAAGAGGCTCATTCACACATCAGGAATATGAGTGTCTCCGATTCTCCCTTGAAAAATGAGCCATCCCCTCCTTTGAAAACAAAAAGCTCTTTTTCTTACCCAGCTAAAGCTAAGCGTGTCCATTTCTTTTGCTCTTATCCCTTAGAATTAATTTTCTAGTCTGCTAAAACTTGCGTTATCAAAGCCTTGAGGCTCTTGGCTTTGTTTCTGATATATAGTTGTCTGCAGTTAGCAGCCTCACTTCATGGTAGTCCCTGGGCACTGATCAGCTCTTAATAAGGATTGCATCACTGCCCTGGCAGTTACTGTTTGAAGACATTGCTTAAAGCTAGAATGGTCCAATGGTCTCAAGTTGAAATTCTATAGTTCTCCAATCCTGAGTAATCTCCACCCTTGGCTCTAGTACTCCTTATGAAAATTGCATCATCAATTTAGGTGGAAATAATCCTGTAAGCAGGCTCCCTATATTCAAACAGTATTGGATGAGAATCTGGACCAGGGGGGGGGATTATCTCCATTTGATTACACATCATTCTAAGATCCCAAAACTGACAACTGCCTACAAGAGATTTCAACATACTTGCCAAAAAGTAGTATGGAGATAGCAGGCAAGATAAAAGTTGGGAAGTATAAAATAACCCTTTCCTGGTGTTAAGGAAGATTGGCTTTTTGGAATAATGAAGAAGGGGTGTACAAAAAGTCCAAAAGTTCCTTTGTATATCAGTATATTATCTTTACAATCCAGAGACTTAGTCGTCATCTGCCTCCACTGGACATATTTTCTCCTTCACTGAGAGATCTTAGCCAATTAGGGATCATGTGGTGAGCAAAAAAAAAAAAAAAAGATGAACTGCCTGTTAGGGTCCCAGAGGAATCTGTCAGCAGATCCCCACTTTTGTTAGGAGGGAAAATGAATGTCCCTGGATGTCATTTCTATGTTGCAGCACCAGTACAAGAAAACTCGTCCTCTTGAAATTCAATCAGCTCCTACCATACAAGGCCTTTAGAAAAGTACTTAGAATTGTTTAAGATTTTGATTCTTAAATGATGCCATCTCTCACTTTTTTTTTTTTTTTGCTGGTTCTTTCTATGATTTTTGTTTTAAATTTTTAACACGTAAAATATATTTATATGTTTAGCTCTTGAAGATTGTTTACTTAACATATTGTACCCTGGCTGTTTTAATGGCTGTATTTTAACCTACTTAAAGTATCTTGACTCAGGCAAGTAAAATAAAATAAAATATGAATTGATAAATAAGCGGAAGCTGTCTGGATGACTGGACCAGTCACTCGGTATAAACTGGTCAAGTCTGGTTATGTTAAGATGTCAACAGTAAAGAAGCAACCATCTTTTTACTTAATTATTTATTCTGCTGGGTTTTTTTAATGATTGTCCACTGTAATCAAGTATCTTTGGGAGGCTAACAAGGCTTGAAAACAAAAACATGCATATAAAAAAGTAAAAATAACTATAAAAGACACCAGGTAAAAATAATCAACTCCTCAACCAATGCAGACGAAAACACAATGTGTCAAACAACACTGGATAGAAACAAGAAATATTTCTGACACATTTCATAGTGCTTGCTCCAATGAATTTTGACTTAGCACAAGGTTTGATTTTAATATGAACATGTTTCCTTATTCTCTGCTTTTGTTTTATCTGTGTTCAAGGGAACGTCTATAAGTTATAGACTAATGAGTTGTATCATTACACTTCAGAAATAATGGTCTTTTCCCCCTTAAAATGCTTCACTAAAAACAATCCTAGTATATTTGTTAAAAATGCAATAGCTCAAAAACCCAGTGTAAGCAAATCTTCTTTTCTAGCTCCATTTTGACTAAAAATAGAAGACAAGGATGAGGTTCAGCTAGGGATTCAGGGATCTGTCTGCAATGCCAGATGTCCTCATTTTGGAGAGCAAATAAAGAATTGCAAATATCATGACCACATAGAATCCTACCCAGTAGGTTTCTACAATAATTTCAAACTTACCCATGGTAAGATTACACATCTGGTGACATCTCATAATGAATGTGATCAATTTCAGCATTTACAAGACAGGATATTTCACAAAGCAGATGAAATAACTACAGTGATATGAATTGAAATAATAAAAAAAATCTTACAAGGGATGTACAATTCAGCACCCAAGAAATATCACAGATGAAAGGACATAGAACATAGAATATAGAATAATAGGGTTAGGAGGGACCTTGGAGGTCTTCTAGTCCAACCCCCTGCCCAGGCAGGAAACCCTATACCATTCCGTACAAATGGCTGTCCAGTCTCTTCTTAAAAACCTCCAGTGATGGAGCACCTAGCTGGAAATGACTGGACTCTCAAGAATTAACAAACCAGGAACAGACTTTAGAGGTCTTGATTGATTAACTGATTAAGTGCCACAAAGTCATTGTTCACTTTTAGGCATCCCATAGATTGTTCCCTAGGACAATCTGCCCCTAACTTGATCCTTCAGCTCTTCCAATAATGCACTCATGGCTAGTATAACTATCCACTTTGCTACTGTTGTATTCTTCTCTTTCTTTTCCACCTTTCCCAGCATTACAGCCTTCCTCAGAGAGCTAGGTCTTCACATACAGTGTCTGAAATAGGTCTTGGGAGTCCAACAAAGATAATTAAACTTAAGATTCAGAGGTATCCCCAAAGATCCACGAAAAGGAAATTAATATTGATGACCATTCATTTAATGTGCAAGTTACAGCACCATCAGAGGGCATTTCATCCACCAGATAGCCTCACAACGGGAACTTCCAGATAGAGCTAAGCAGTTTTACTATATCATATTTACAACAAAATAAGTTCCCCTGAGTTCCATGAGCCTGACTCAATTTTCTGGGTTAAAGGTTTCTACTCATTTGTTTTCTCTCAAGTTGATGGTCCCACTGCCAGCTGATAAAATTTTGATAGAGTTGGAATCGTGCTACGTTCTCTGTGATTCCCACAGGGATGGAAAGAAAGCATACCATAATTGAAAGTGCAGAGTTCATGATGGCTATCTTAGATTTATTGTGTTTTGTTCTGTTTGTTTTCAAAACTATGTCCCTAGTTTTCTGTGGTTCCCAAATCCAGAGGATTGCTTGAAAAACCACTAAACTGGGTATAACACAAGGAGAAACATCCGAGTCATATTGTGCAACTGTTCTTCTGTTCATATCTAGATCCTTTCCATTCTTTCCACCGTTATTATATTAAAGCTTTAAACAGACTTCTTCTATGTCCCTTGTATCAAATCTATTTCGATCCTAAAGTTTCCCATGTTAATATGTGTTGTTGATGTTTTGCACAACCTCTGAAGTCTTCTTTCTTTCTTTCTTTCTTTCTTTCTTTCTTTCTTTCTTTCTTTCTTTCTTTCTTTCTTTCTTTCTTTCTTTCTTTCATGTTGTAAAGCTGATTCTTTGCCAAATGAAGAATGCTATTGGACTTTGATTTTGTGCATGGTGGAATTTGATAGTTCTGTGATTTCTGTTCTCTGATTAATCACGATCCAGTTCTCAGCAACATTCAGGTATCTCTGAAGTAGCATATCTCTTGAACTGTGTTACCTTCCAGGTGTTTTCTTCACTTTCCACACTTTCCACTTGGAGAGTGGTCACGACTACCTGTTGATCACTGAAAATGGCAGCTTCACCCAGCCTCTGAAACAGCTCACTGGTTCCCACCTGCCTGCTCCTTTCAGCGCTGGCCTCTTTGGGAATTTCTCTGCTCAGATCCGCTTCATCTCTGACTTCTCCATTTCTTATGAAGGCTTCAACATCACTTTTTCAGGTAAGGGCTGGTACCTGAGAAGTAAGTAACTACCCTGGACAGGTCTTCTTTCATCACCAAAATGCATCATGAGCCTCCATACACTGGAGACAAGAAAAGGATACCTTGGAGAGACATGTTCTAGATGGGAACTATGGCCCTTTTATGACGGGTGAATTTCAACTCCCAGAATTCCTGAGCCAGCCATTCCTGAACCAGGAATTCTGGGAGTTGAAGTCCACAAGTCATAAAGGGGCCGTAGTTCCCCACCTCTGTTCTAGATACTCAACACTCACTTTAAGTAAAAAATACTGAGCAGTCCTGGGCTCTCCTTGGTTGATGACAATCTTAGTCAGTCATAAACCACTATAAATGTGGGGCCTTCTCTTCTTACAGCCATCCCATGTTGTAGCAAAACTCTTTACACTTAAAAACTAAAACAGAAGTCTGAGACAGTGGGTAGAATTGACATTTTGACCACATGGCTATCACAGTGGGTTTAGTCAGAAAGCAGCAAATAGCCAGAGGGCAGATTAATGAGATTATTCCAGGTTCCTCTGTTTAATCCACAAGGATCCTTCCTCTCAACCCTCATCTTATTTTTGTCTCTCCTCTCATCAGCAAAGTGTCTCTCCTCTCATCAGCAAAGTGTTCTCATAATTCTTTTAAAGAAATAATGATGACCCTGAAGGCTATGCCTTCCATTGCAGCATACCAACTTCATTTTAATTTTAACAATAACATTAGCATTTTAAAATATATTGTGTCATGTACAACAGAGGATCTAATGCCAGATCTAAGAAATAAAATTTAGGGAAGCTATAGGAAAGATTGCTTCTATATTGACTGTGTTCTCCAGGATGGGCAGTTTTAAATTCTTTTTTTCTTTTAAATGAATGAGTACCAATTTGTTCCAATCTAAGGCACATTTTACTATATTTTTTCCATCTTGATTGGTAGCAACCAATAAGCAATTGTAACCCTACCATGCTCAATAGGTGTATAATGGTCTGGTTTCCACTGCAGCCGTTGCATTATTTGTTTGCCAGTTTTGTGATCGTATTTGTAATATGTTATGAACCAGGGCTGATAAAATAACAAAACATTAAAAACCCGATTCCAGGACCAGAAGATACATTTAATATAAAAGTGCATTAAAAAAGAACACTGACCACTGACACACACACACACAAAAAAAACAGTGAGTGAAAAGGCTGATAATTTGCTGTAACTCAGCTAAAATTTACTTCTGGCTAAAAATAGAGAAGACGTTTTCCCAGTGGGATCAGCACTGCCACATGAATATGGAGGAATTAGCACCGCAAAGGCTTAATTTTAGTTCTAGCAAAGCCAAAAGTCAGCAAAGCTAGTAAAGTTAAAGGAGAAGCAGAAGAGGAATTGCTCACTAAAAGAGCATTTACCATTTGCATATAGCAAGACTCAACGTTTAACCTCTGTGTTTTCAAGTAGGAAAGGCTTCAGAGCCTGAAAAATTGCTGCTCAATAGTGCAAGGAAAATGGGCTGGCTAGGAGTTTTTCTTTTTCCTTTTCTTTGCCCAAAGGCAAAATGGTCTCTCCTGCCTCCAAGGCCTTGTCAGTTGCAGGATATTATTCATTTGAAATAGCTGTACCCAGCCACGCGTTGCTGTGGCTCAGTCTGGTAAAAGCATGTGTTGCTTTTACGTCCAACAGATGGCGCTGTTTTTTAAAAATAGCATGTTTTTACCTGTCACAGGTGTGACATCTATATAATATAGGTATATAAAAACACGCGCGTATTCGAATGCAATGTTGTATCAAAATTTCAAAGCAATTGGTGAAGAACTTTCGGAGATTTAAGATTTTGAACAAACGAACATTTACATTTTTATTTATATAGATTGTTTTTCAAATTTCCCCACCAAATTGGGGAGGGACGCTTCCTTAGAAGTCCAGGGAGAAGAGAAATTTCCCAACAATTTCTCAAGGATTAGTACCCTTCCTTGCTGGGCGTAGATACCTGTAGGAGGAAAAATCCGTGGGATTAGCTTCTTCTCTTGAAGTGATGTGTGAAAATTGGCGTTTGCGAAATGATGAGCTGCAAATTGCCGCCAGGAGGTGAATCGGACAGTGAAAAGGACCTTCCTTTGGGTTACTTTGATCTTAAAGAAGTGCAAGTGCCCCATGACTTTCTCTTCTCCTTGGAATGAAGATTGGAAAGCACGTTTTATTTGATCAGAATGGATCACAACCTGTTCCTCTCCACCACCACCACCACCACCCCAAATAAAAATGCTGAATAATTATCAAGGCCTTCTCAAGGCAGATTGCCATGTGCGTAGAAGATCAGTATTGTATGGTCCAGAAAATGGTTGCAATCTTCCAGGAAATCTGGGCATGCCAGGTTTTTTTTTAATTTATTTGTTTGATTATTTGTTTGTCTGTTTATTAAATTTATAGGCTGCCCATCTTACCTCAAGGTNCAAATAAAAATGCTGAATAATTATCAAGGCCTTCTCAAGGCAGATTGCCATGTGCGTAGAAGATCAGTATTGTATGGTCCAGAAAATGGTTGCAATCTTCCAGGAAATCTGGGCATGCCAGGTTTTTTTTTAATTTATTTGTTTGATTATTTGTTTGTCTGTTTATTAAATTTATAGGCTGCCCATCTTACCTCAAGGTAATCCTGGGTAGCTTACAATCATCTATATATAAATAAAAATGTAAATGTTCGTTTATTCAAAATCTTAAATCTCCGAAGGTTCTTCACCGATTGCTTTAAAATTTTGACACAACGTTGCATTCGAATACGCACGTGTTTTTATATACCTACTATTATATAGATATCACACCTGTGACAGGGAAAAACATGCTTTTTTAAAAAAACAGTGCCATCTGTTGGACGTAAAAGCAACACACGCTACGACTTTACCATTCCATTTCAATGTTTCCGGTTTACGATCCATTTACGATTTCCAAATTTCCAATTTTACGATTCCATTTCAATGTTTCCGATTGCATTGTTAAATTGAATTTTCATAGATTTCTGTTTATTTTCATTTTGATTTAATTATTTCGTGTGACATTGCGTTGGAATTGAGCTGTGTCGTTTACCATAGCGTTCATTTCGTGAGTATAGTTTATTTTTTTTCTTTTACAAGCACTGTGAAATTAAACATATTAGAAACGTGCGCTTTCTCTTTTCTTTCTTTTCCATTTAACCAGACTGAGCCACAGCAACGCGTGGCCGAGTACAGCTAGTAAAACAATACAACTATATAAATTAAAAACATAAATAATATAAAATCCAAAACATTATGGCCCAATTAAAAGATGGGGGGCGGAGCAGGAAGGGGGGAGATGGAAAGTTATTAATGTCAGAGAGCAAGAGAGAGAGAGGGGGGGGGGGAAATGTTCATGTCTATAAATTGTGTTTAAAAGTCTAAGTTTTCTATTTTGGGGGTAATGCCCCGTGGTTGCTTGTGTCTCTCTACCCATCAGAATATGACTTAGAACCTTGTGATGAGCCCGAAGTGCCGATCTACAGCATCCGCAAAGGTCTTCAGTTTGGCGTGGGGGACATCTTGACTTTCTCCTGCTTCCCTGGGTACCGACTGGAAGGTGTCTTCAGCATTACTTGCCTGGGCGGTCGACGGCGTGTGTGGAGTTCGCCACTGCCAAGGTGTGTTGGTAGGTGGTCACGTGCTTTAATTTTGCTTGGGCAGTCTAGTGTATCAGAACATACTCTGGGCAAGCTCTTTAGCCTTTCTTGGTTTTGGTCTATGGCAGGGGTAAGCAACCTTGGCTCTTTTATGACTCGTGGACTTCAACTCCCAGAATTCCTGACCCAGCTAAAGGCTAAAGAGTCATAAAAGAGCCAAGGTTGCCTACCCCGGTCTATGGGAAGCATTAGGAGATGGATAAGGCTGAGTGAATAAACAGGAGCAGAAGCCTACAATTGCTAGCCCTATGATAGTTTGCATTGTTCATGTGCTTGATCATCTTTTGACCTTAGAGCAGTGTTTCTCAACCTTGACAATTTTAAGGCATGTGGAATTCTGGGAGTTGAAGTCCACATGCCTTAAAATTGTCAAGGTTGAGAAACACTGCCTTAGAGAGATGAAAAAATAATAATCAAAGCCAAGTTCTCAGGACACGGAGTACAGGCAACATTACATCTGCACAAACATCTAGGTCACCCTTCATTATCACAAATTAAGATTTGCAAACTAGATTTAACAAGCACCCAGTGATTAATTTTAGGTAAACCCACCGGTGGATATTTAAATTAATCGTTGGGAGTTTGTTAAATCTGGCCTGCAAATCTTAATTTTGTGCTAAGGCTGATTAATCAAGTTGACAGGGAATCTCTGTGTCATGGTTAATGTCAAAAAAAAAAAGAAAGAAAGAAAGAAAGAAAGAAAGAAAGAGAAAGAAAGAAAGAAAGAAAGAAAGAAAGAAAGAAAGAAAGAAAGAAAGAAAGAAAGAAAGAAAGAAAGAAAGAAAGAGGAGTGAACCAGATGTAACTCTGCAGAGCAATCCCGGATTCCAGGTAATATATGTCTGTACCGTGTTTAGCTCACACAAAGACAGAGTTCACTTACTGCATTGAGGCATGGTTCATTGTAACCATGGTTTGTTGAAGGAGGCAGAAAACTGAGTTCCCATATAGGGCTAAGGGTTGCACTGTGATAATCCTTCATAAAGGACAGAACCAGCTAAGTGATTCTAGGCCAGTCATCTTCCCTCAGTCCAACCTACCACCTGAGGTGGTGATCGTTGGGAACATAGAAGGAGAGAACACTAAGTATACCACTTTGAGTACCAAAATAAAGGTAGGATCTAAATCTGCTAAATAATACATGGACATCTTTCTCTAAGTTGCAAACAAGCCCACAGCATGATTCTGTTGTTTGTGACTCCAAACTGTGTCAGTAGAAAAATAGATTTAATTTAGGAAAAAGTATGAGGTTGAAGCCAACATATCTATCTCCAAATGGTTCCTGTGTATACTGGGACATACATTTTTAAGGGTAGAAATGGGGTACTGCAGAGAATCACAGCAGAGATTCTCCTAACATCTGGAAGTTAGATTCTTCTAACTGAAACTTCTTTGGTGATAGGCTAGACCAGGGGTAGGCAACCTTGGCTCTTTTATGACTCATGGACTTCAACTCCCAGAATTCCTGAGCCAGCATGGCTCAGCTTGGAAATCTCTACTTTTCCCCTCAGCATGGCTGGCTCAGGAATTCTGGAAGTTGAAGTCCACGAGTCGTAAAAGACCCGAGGTTGCCTACCCCTGGGCTAGACTTAGAATTATGGGGAGCTGCTGCTTGCTGTCTGAGAGAACACTGCAACTTTCTCATGCATATAAGCTATAATTAACATATATGAGGCAGAGACAAGAAGGGAATGGTCAAAAAAGTCAAAAGCCCATCCCTTTTTGTATCTATCACAACATCTTGACTCTTGTACTCTCTCCTCCAACAGCCCTCTGGACAGCCCTGCAGAGGGAGGATTTTTATGAATCATTTTCAGATTTTGTTTTTAAGCTAGCAATATTTTTCAGACAAATGACATTTTATCTGTGTTATTTCCAGCCGTAAAAGAATGAGGAAAATCTCACTAGCAATTGTAGTGAGGCAGGAGTGCTCTGGAGGCTGCAGAAATGGCCTTGACAGCTGTGGGTTACAGTATTACTTAAGTATTACTAGCATCGATGGAAGTTTTGCTCCGCTGGGATGGCTTTTATTTCAATTCTTGCCCTCATCAAGACATTGAAATTGATGTTTTAAATGCTGCTTACCGATTTTAGATTTCCAGCTTTCTCGTGTCATATACCAACTTGGCTTCATTGTCTGGAAATTGACAGTAAGGCTGGGTTGTTTTCTGCTTTCACATATCATGGAAGAATACAACACATTTGAGACGTTTTAGATGTGTTCAGCTCCATAGCATAGTTAAGAGATGCAGAACTAAGATAAAACAATATCAGGGTTCAGGGTACAGGGATATATTTACTTATTTAGTAAGCCTATATACTGCCCATCTCATCTAGAGATGACTCTAGGTGGTTTACAATATAATTGCGTAGGAGGGCACCATCTTTTTTGAACCAGCTTGATAATAGAGCAAGAGATGTAGTAGTAGCCTATGTTACACTGTCCAAATGCAGAACACATGAGAGTCCTGACTCATAGGATGATTCTTTATTTCTGTAATCCAACGTTTGATTTCTAGTCTAGCACGGATGATGTTACCTAGTTTAGGTAATGAAACGTCTGCAAGAAAACAACCAAGCTCAGAGAGCACCAAGGACCCCTTCAGTTCAACCCTGAGAAGCAAATATCCTCCTTTATTCAAGATTCAAGGTTCCGTGTGTAGGAAGAAAAACACAATAGGCCCACATTAGTATTTACCCAGACAGCGTGCTTTTTATATCACTCGTATATCCCCATCTGTTAACAGTCAATCCTTCTGCCTCTTTCTCTGTAGCGGAATGTGGTTCCTCTGTGACGGGGACTCAGGGTGTTCTCCTATCTCCAAATTATCCCCTAAACTACAACAGCTACCACGAATGTATCTATTCCATCCAGACGCAGCCAGGAAAAGGAATTCAGCTCAAAGCCAGGGCGTTCAGTTTGGAAGCTGGAGATGTCCTCAAGGTAAGGACTAACCATCCAATGGATTAAAATGAGAATTAAAGTATAGTTAAGCCAGCAACGTAACAAGAAAATAAGAACCAATGCATTTCAAAACTGCTGAATCCCAGACCAAATTTTGCATGCGGTTGTACTTCCCCAGAAGAAGTAGGTCTGTAATCTGGGAATGTTCCTAGACTCCCAACTACTTCCAGGACTTCTGAACAGTGCTGCTTTTCTCAAGTCTCTTGGTGGCTTTCTATATTATCAATAATGGTATCTTTCTGGACTATCTAGAAGAAATGGGTCTTCGACATTGAAGTAGTATGCTACTGGTCTGTTCTATCAGGCTGTGACCAGTTGTTTGACCTCTAGGCTTAGACTTATGGATGGAGTCCCACATTACACTGATGGGAGGGTCTTTGGAGTAGAATGTCTTTAATGCAGCTCAGTTTGTTGTTCCTTACTCTCTAAATTTGATAATGGGCTGGACTAGAGAAGAAGCTGAAGCCAAATCCAAACATGATTAAGATGTTGTAGGTAAAGAGGATATTAAACTCAAGAAATGAGCTTTGATCTACTTTGGATAGGCTTCTACTCTGCCTGAAAAAGCAGATTTGCAGACTGGGAGTGTCCTCACTGACTTAACCCAAAGTGAGGAATGCCTTCACATAGGAGTCTTCCATGCCTGCTGCATCGCTTCTTGTGCCAGTTGAATATGCTGACAGTTATCCACATCTTGTCCCAACCCATCTTGACCATAGCAATGTGTTTTATGTAGTGCTATCCTTGAAAGCAATTAGTGCAAAATAGGATGGCCAGATGCTGCCTCTATTCAGGATCACCGTGATGGTTGTAATGAAAGATATGTACCAGCTACCAATTGTCTACTGAGCATAATTTACCATGCTAGCATAGATCTTCAAAGCTCTAAATCAGTGGTTCTCAACCTATGGGTCGGGACCCCATTTGGGGTCGATCGACCATTTCACGGGGGTCGCCAAGCAAGGCTGTCCGCCATTTTTTCCCCTTTTCCGGCGGGTGCCTTACCTCCCTTGAGCTGGGCCAGCTGGTGGTCGGCCTGCTCCGTCTCTGCCGCTTGCCAGCTACGCCTCGGCCGGCGCAGGGGGCGGAACCACGCATGTGTGGCGCTCCCGGGCAGGGAAAGTCCTCGACTTACAACCGGTTGGGTAGTCCTTGATGTACAACCGGTTTAGTCCTCGACTTACGACCGGTTGGGGGTTGCAGCATTAAAAAGGTTGAGAACCACTGCTCTAAATGGATTTGACTGTTTTCAGAGACTACCTGTCCTGGGATAGAACTATCTGGTCACCCAACTTACAACCAGAATTTTCATTTTTTTTTTAAAGCAAGGTGATTGTTAAGTGAGTTGTGCCCAGTGTTATGCTCTTTTTGTCATGGTTGTGAAGTGAATCATGCAGTCATTAGGCAAATCCAGCTTCCCCCATTGACTTTGCTTGTCGGATGCCAGTGGGAAGGTCATGTGACCCCCCAAGAGACACCGATTATGGTAAATGCATGTTGGTTACCAAGCACCCAAATCTGATTATGTGACCATGGGGATGCTGCGTCAGTTATATGTGCAAGAACTGGTTGTAAGTCCCTTTTCTGAGTGCTCACTGTAACTTTAAACAGTCAATAGATCAGTGGTGGCGAACCTACGGCACGGGTGCCAGAGGCGGCACTCAGAGGCCTCTCTGTGGGCACGCACACTGTCGCCCTAGTCCTAGGCCTTCAGCTGGGTTTTATAAAACCTTTTCACTTTAGGCCTTCACCGTCATGTGCCAAAAAAAAAAAGGTTCAATCAATCAGTCAATTTCAACTTCTCGCAAAAAAAAAAAAAGATCTTGCAAAGTTGGAATTGATTGATTGAACTTTTTAGTCCCACCCAGTCTGCCGTTAACACCGCAGCCACACCCACCCAATGGGCCAGGCCCAGCCATTGGGCCACACCCACCCGGCACCCGACAATGCATAAGTGGGTTTTGGGTTGCAGTTTGGGCACTCGGTCTCTAAAAGGTTTGCCATCACTGCACTAGATGAAGTATTGTGAGTTGAGTACTACCTGAACTTAGATCAGGAGAAGGGACTTTTTGAAAATGCTCTAAGTCAGGGGTAGTCAACCTTGGCTCTTTTATGACTCGTGGACTTCAACTCCCAGAATTCCTGGGAGTTGAAGTCCACGAGTCATAAAAGAGCCAAGGTTGACTACCCCTGCTCTAAGTGCTAGATGCAGAGCTCTCTGGGAGATGTACTTCTTCCCTGTGGCTTACAGATTTCTCCATGGAGATGTATCCTCCCTATCTTGCACCTCAGAAAGTAGGACAATGCCATATATTTTCCCAAGCTATTCATTTTTCATAGATTTCATGATAGTGAGTTTAACATTGATGTCAAGGGTTCTGATTTCTTTTTCAAAGTGTGTCATAATCTATTACAGACAAATAAGAAGAAAACATAACCAGATAGAACACTGAATAAAAATACGCTGTACACAAAACAAGAGTGACAGAAATGAAATTAAGGAGGGAGAAAACACAAAGAAAAACAAAAAAAAATGTTACACATGCATATTTTATTGTATACGTTTTATATATATTACATCTCAAGTCTTAAACCATGAATTAAAACTTTGACTATACAGAAGGAATTTGATTGAGGATCTCCTAATGTCCATAAAATACAAGCACAAATTTTACATAAAATGTAAAATTCTTACGTACAATTTCTGCATGCATTTGTTTTCAAGTTTTTCATTTTAGGTATGCTAGACTGTTTCCACCAGTGTCAAATAATCTTATTAGCTGCTACTCACACTTCATACTTCACTAGATTCCAAATTTAACCTCACATAAATATCTTTAGCCCTCATTCTTTCAACACTTTATTTGCAACCTTATAAATAACAAATCATGAGAGTGTCAGCATTGAGGGTGTCCCAAAACAGTCTCAGTGTCCCAATTTGCAGAAATAGAAACCCATCGGATACATCTTCTCAATTGTTCAACCAACAGGAAAAAAATATTGAATTCATCACATTAAAAAGGTGCGATATTAATATAATATTTAAAATTTTCTAGCCTCTTGATATATTAAAACAGGTTTCCTACAGTCATCATAGTATGTTTTGAACTATAGAATTATAAACTGACTGTAGGTTTAGGGACGTTGGGGACTTTCAAATGTTTTCTCTAATTTTATTAACAATTTCAAATTTCAAATCAGATAGTGTTTTAATGAAATATGACTTTTGTTTGTTAACACCAAAAAAAAGATCTTATGCACTGGATTGTCCCAAATTGTCATTTTTTGATGAAAATTAGGATCAAACTTAAACCTCCTTCCAAGGGTGTTCTATATATGTCTTGCAGTTTTGAATGTGAGAACAGCACCCAAATAAGAAGTAAAATAAGAGCCAAGTCTTTGTGAAGATGTTACAGGGGAATTCTTCATATTATTCTAAGATGCCTTGAGTTCAGAAAGCTGGATAAAATAAAAAAATAAAACAGTCTCGAATTAATCAGGAAACTGATAAAACACTTTTAATGTCATTTTAACTGAAATGCATATAAATAATGAAGCTGACATCCCTTCCAGCTCTATTCTATTCTATTCTGTTCTATTCTATTCTATTCTATTCTATTCTATTCTATTCTATTCTATTCTATTCTATTCTAAATGGGTGGCTATTGTTAGTATGCAGAACATTTTAAATCAAAGAGTAACATTGTCATTTTGAGAGCAAGAGATCTGTTTTGGGACATTGGGGTGGAATTTTGAGCTCAGAGCAAACTTGTTGGAAGTTTCACAATGATCCAGGGAAACAACTTCATGTTTTGAGAGGCCATCTTGTACTGAAACATTGCTGGAATACAGATGCTTTGAATGCAAGGATGGAGGAGAAAAGCAGGCAGAGTTGGGGGCAGAGTTAAATGCATCATCAGTCCTTGTGTTGCCAGAAGAGATTTAAGTCCAACCCCTGCTAAATTCTGTTTACCCTTCTCTGGCACCAATTTAGTGTTGAATTTCACTTGACCAGATTCTTGTGTATAGGCTTGAATAAATTGTCTATACTGCAATCTAACTGGTAGTCCTAATTCTTTGTGCTTGACAAAGGCATATTGATATTTTTCACAGCCTAGTGGCTACCAATGCAACATGCCCTCGCTCTTCAAAAGAAGAGTCAACACTGTTTTCATGTCACAGTGCCCAGGCCAAAGGCATGGGACAATGAAGAACGTTCCACCCATCCCCAGGGTACCAAATGAACAAAACTGTTGACTTTGTAGAGACAAAAGGTACCTGGTCAGCGGATGAGCAGAGACAAGGGAATCCATCTTCTCATTTATTTTCTCCTCTTTTCCAAGATTTATGATGGCAACAATAACTCGGCTCGCCTGCTGGGCTCCTTCAGCCGTGCCGAGATGTTGGGTCTTAATGTCAACAGCACTTCCAGCTCGATGTGGCTTGAATTCATCACAGATGGAAATGGCACGGATCAAGGTTTTGAGTTGCAGTTTTCTAGTAAGTATGGAGGCTGCTGATCCCGCAGCTGGGGGAAAGGATCAGAGCAGTGTTAGAGTCCATGTACTGCTCCAAACCTTTAAGGAAAATTAGTTGGCAAGTAAGGGTGTCTAGATGGAAGCCAAGCTAATGCCAGATCTTTTGGTGAGATTTTATTTTTCATACCTAAACCTTCAAAAGGAAAACTATTTGTGCCTGCTTCGTGTAAGAGCACATTTTTCATTACAAGTTGTCTGTGTAAATATCGTTGTGTTAATCTTCACACACTTTCCCATCGTTCTGTGTCTATTGTTCTACTCATAATCTGGTTGTTGAGCCCTCTTTTGAAAAATTGCAGATCACTACCTCCACTGAAACAAGCTACACAAGAAACAGCCTTCAATGCATCTTGTTTCCAACCCATCCATCAGATTGATCCATAAGGTTCAGAATCAGCAAATAAAAAAACCTATTTTGAAGAGAAAATCTATTCCTTTCTATTTTGCAGCATTTTTCTCTCTGGTTTCTTAAATACCTCCACTTCCCTGGGTCTTTTCCATTGGATGCTTCACCTTAGTCCTGGCACTTTAGAAAGACTACAAGGGATATTTTAATCTGGTTTTTTAAAACAATTTGAAAAAGAAATGGCCAATTAATATTTTGTTTTAATTACTTTTTAAATTTAGTATTTATTGTATTATGTATTGTTTTAAATGGCTGTAAGCCGCCCTGAGTCCATTGGGAGAAGGGCGGGGTAGAAATTAAATAAAAGTAAAGTAAAGTAAAGGCTGAATGTTCTGGGATGTCTTTTCTCAGACTACACCCTGGAAGTCTCTAAAGGAATTTCATTAGCCATTGACAGTTTTTGCTAAAGCAACAGCCAAGACGAGACTGGGGATCCTTTCTAACCATTTGCCTTTATTCCTAATTTCAGGTTTTGATTTAATCAAGTGTGAGAACCCTGGTATCCCGCAATTTGGCTATAAAGTCCACGATGAGGGACATTTTGCAGGCAGCTCTGTCTCTTTCAATTGTGACCCTGGCTACACATTACGCGGAAGCCGTGGGCTTACTTGCTTGACTGGAGAGCGAAGATCCTGGGACCAGCCTCTCCCCACCTGCGTAGGTATGACTCTTCCCTCTTGTGTGGTGGTCACTCCCCAAACATTCGGCATAGCTGCTAAGGGGATGGCCGGCCAGTTGGTTGAGCTGTGTAATTTTATGTCCCAAAGCCACCCATAGTTCTTGGAATCTTCAGGAAAAAAACATTGAGATCTTCTTACTAAACTGAAAGTTTAATGGGATAAAATTGTTAAATAATTGAATGCATAGCTGAGAGGTTATTGGAATATCAGTCCAGAATTGCAAGAAAGAGTGACTTTTACCCAGAAGACACAGAGGCATGGAGCTTAGAATGTCTGGTAGGAGGGTCCCTAGCAACTCACAAAACATATCTATAGTTGTTGCAGGTAATTGCTTGCAGGAGAACAACAATAAAGGAATTACTCAGAAGTCACTCCTCCACATGTGGTCCTTGGTTCCTGGGGCCTGACAAATACAGTTCTAATCTAAAGGCTGTTTAGGATGAATTAGGGGCACAAAGTGCCACCTTTACAAATGGATCAGGATCAATGGCCGGATTGCTGCAGAAGATGACCTATTAATCTTTTTCACCTGTCCAAATGTGCACAATAGCTTTAATTCCTACCATTTCCTTTTCGGCATTCATACTACTGTTTTTTTCCAATAACCTTCAGGCTAATGAGTCAATCAATACCAGATGCAGTCGGTTTCTCTCTTTTAGTACACCTCGAGGGCACAAATCAAGCCTTCCTTTTGTCGCCATGTCGTGTTCCCACCGTTTGGCAATGAATGAGCATCGAGAATTGTCTAGCCACCTCTTGGTTTCTAGCGCTTGGCTGTCTGAATAAGTCAGTGTTTCCCAACCGTAGCCATTTTAAGTTGTGTGGACTTCAACTCCCAGAATACCCCAGCCGGCAATTTATGACCGTTTTTCACAGTCATGACCTTTGCAGCATGCTTAGGATCATATGATCAAAATTCAGATGCTTGGGAACTGATTCATATTCATGACCCTTGCTGTATGCTGAGGTTATGTGATCTGTTCACCCTTAGTGATCTTCTGACAAGCAAAGCCAGTTGGGAAACTAGATTCATTTAACAATTGAGTTACCAACTTATCAGCTGCAGTGATTCACAACAACTATGGCAAGAAGGCTCGTAAAATTGGGCAAAGCTCACTTAACAAATGACTCATTTAACAACAGTAATTTTAGGCTCAATTATGGTCGTATGTTGAGGACTACCTGCATTTATATCTTCTAAAAAGAAAGAACAGACTAAAAGTAAAGTTACTGTATAGAGCGAAAGTTAGAGTGACAATATTTCCTTTATTATAAAGGATAGGCTTTTATTTCAGACAGCTAACTTTTATTAAGATACGCATTCTCTTAAAATTTTTCTTAGTTTTGCTCTTGAATTTTCCTTCGCAAATTAAATTTATAAACATAAACAATTAATAAAAATTATCCTTATGAGCCTCTTTCAGGTTTGCCCCTTTTCAGGTTTGTCTTTATTCTTTCCAAGATAATATGATCATTGTAGCTATAGGTGAACATGGATAGAATGGATATAGTTTTAAAATCGATTCCATTGTATTCACATAATACATAAAACCAGGGCTTTTTTTTCTCATAGAACGCTGAGAACGGAGTTCCGGCACCTTTTTTGAATGGAACCTTGTAGGGTAGGCAAGGCGGGTTATATGACGTGTGTGAGTTCCGGCACCTTTTTTTTTTTTTTTTTAAACAAAAAAAGCACTGCATAAAACTAATTTAATGTACATAATTCTATGTATCAGGCAACAGAAAAAGAGTGAATTTAAGGTGGCTAAATTCACTCTTTTTCTGTTGCCTGATACATAGAATCATAAGTAATCAAAGGGTCTGTCATATCCAGAATGCTAAGTCACAAAATACTTAATATTTAGAAATTTTGCAAATATCAGTGATTCTCAACCTTGGCAATCTAAGTTCTGTGGATTTCAGTTCCCAGAATTCCCCACCTAGCATGTTAGCTGGGGAATTCTGGGGCTTGAAGTCCACAAATCTTAAAGTTGCCAAGGTTGATTTATTTATTACGCGTATAGCGCCAAGAGAAACACTGCATTAGACCTTCAACAGTTGAGTTTCAGAATGTTGTGCAAATTCAGCCATATCTGCTTCTGGCCTTATTTTGATGGGCTCCTCTCCCTCATCTCTGTGTGTACACTAATCTTGACACTTTTCAAGTGTGTGAAAGCACAATACACATCAACCCCAGGTAGTTTGGTCGAAAGAAATTATGAAGCTGTAATTCTAATATGTGGTGGGTACCCAAATGATAATAGCGGTTGGATGTTCTGTATTTTCTGTGGCCTCTTTTCTCTAGAACCTCTTACATGAACGGGCAGCAAAAGTAAAGTCTTCCCCAAAAGAAGAAGCAAAGGATGTTTAGAGTTCAGTTGCTGAATTGTTTTGTGGCTTCTTTCAGCTGAGTGTGGGGGCAGCATTCGAGGTGAGTCTTCAGGAAGAATCCTGTCTCCAGGGTTTCCAACGCCCTATGATCACAATCTCAACTGTGTCTGGACAATTGAAGCAGAGGCGGGTTGCACAATAGGGTAAGTTCAAAGACTGGAAAAGATTAGATCAGCAACACCCCTACACCATCCAGCACTCCTCCTGTCACTGTGGTTTTGAGTCAATTACGTTGTGCTCCAAGCAGGGCACAGGTGTTTCTGTGCGGGACCATTTCTGCTCTGCAATTAAAAATAAAGAAATAGATGCATGAAAACGCCCGTGCCAAAACAACCCCAACTCTTGGCAGGAGTAGCCGAGCTCTACGACCTGTTTGAATTATGCAAATTGATTGCATTTCCATGATTTCTCTTGCTTTGCATACTTTAGTGTTTACTATTTGGCATCAACAGGAGGAGGATTAAAAAAAAACAAGGCTCAAGCTTCATAATCAGCAAATTAATCAACCATACATTTTTTAAAAATACGAGTTGTGGATTAATCAGGGTAGATGTGCTGGTTTTAATTGGTCAAACGCAAGGCTTGAAGACAGATTGGATTCAGTGGATCGTAGCAATAGAGAATGGGAAAAATAGAAAGAGACCCCCCTGAAGTTCTAACACCCTCACAGTGGCTTCTCTGCTCTCAGGTGCTAATCACATTCATACCTGCGCAGCTTCCGATGCGTTTGGAATATGGATTGCTGCCAGAGAAATGCAAAGCCATTTTTCAAGAGCTTAGAAGAGAACATACAAACACAAACAGTATAATTCCAGCCTGAGCTGTGTAATATCAGCATGACAGCTTTCAAGGGTGCAATTTGAAAAAAAGATCTTGCTAGACAGAACGAAAGTGCTGGGTCCTCTCTTGAATTACCTGCCAAATTTAGCAAGAGGCATCCACAGAATCCTATCAGATACATGAGACTAGGAAGTCAATGCCATGTAGGTCAACACTACTTTTACTGTAAAGCTGTAATAACAAAATCTTGCTGGTTTGAATGGGCCTCCCTCCTTCCTCTCTCCATCATTGTATAAACTTGGGAAGAACTTGCCTAGTCACATTACATTCTTGCTTGGGAATTAGGGTCCTTTTATCTGATCAATACTTGGTAGGAGCGTTTCCTCCTGCCCTCAAAGCCATTCCTTCTGCTCTCTGCAACTCCAGATATTTGGTCAGAATGGTACTATGTGCATTGTGATGTTCTGGTACAAGCTCTTTCCCTTCTATACATATGTGCCCACACAAAAAAATGGGAATTTGGTGGTGGAGGCAAATGGGTTCCATATCAAAGAATATTTAGAACTGGATGACCTGGCCCTTTATCTTCTTATCTCCTCCTAACTCAAAGTGCTTGCACTTTGCACTTAATGGCCAGCATCCTCTTCAACCTGCAGTTCGGTTCCATGCACTCCAGTCTCAGCACAATCTTTTTTGTGGTCTTGGCCTTCTTCTGGAAGATGGGCTTTGTCTGACCACCATAGCCACTGTGCTTACGGTCATATCTCCACTTTCCTTGAGCGTACAGAGACTATTTACTCTTCTTGTACTGGGTGACTTTGTGGGGATGATGCTTCCCACATTTCTTGCAGTAAATCCTGCAGGTTTTGGGGATGTTCACCATTTTGCCGACGTTAGCGGCGTGCAGAGAGAGCTTCTAAATGTTGTTTATTGCTATACAATGATTTTATTACCATTATTAACCATAAATCCAGATTTGTATGACATCAAACTCTAAAAGGCCACAGTCCTCTTGCTCCTGATTTAAGGCTATTCTGAAAAAAGATTTTGCAGACTTCTAAGGTCTTAGTTTAAGGCAGTGTCTTTCTCATGGCAGAGTGGAACAATACGCTGGGCCATCTCACCACGGGAGCCAACTCAGCATGGAAAATTCCATGCGGGATAACTCAACACAATAAATGTTATCCACCACTGTTTCTTTGACGTAATTTTCTGTGGCGGGTTGTCCCACGATGAATTGGCTGAGGTGGGATTGCCATGGCAAATTGTACTAGACCTTTTGTCATGGGCACCAGATTCTACTTTTCGCATTTGTTCTCTCCCTCCCACACCACAAAGACAAAATGTCTTTTGAAAATACAGTTGGATGTTCATTTTTTTCCAAAGCAGGTGTTGATGTATGACTTATTACAGGACAGGACAGTTAAAGTTTGAGCGTCACGATTCAGTAGTAAATAAAGTTGGAGGAATGAAAACTATGGTTGGTTGCTCCTACAGATGTCATAATTCTGCCTTCTGTTTTCTGGACCTTCCTCTCCCTCCCCCCCAAAAAAGTGTTCAGTCATCATTAACCAACACAACTGTGGGTTACTGAGTTGAGGAGGGCTGCAGTTGATCTATGGAAGAATTGCAGCTTCCCTCAGCAGAATGCATTTTTGTGAAATTTCAAGGACTACTAAGTAACAAGCCAGCAGCTTTGACACCTTTTTTTTTTAAACAAAAAGCACATAGTTGGGTCTTTTAACTCAGTATTCCCAGTCTTCCTACAGTACAGTCTATCAATCTTTTATTGCGTCTTCAGTACAAATGTTTATGCTAATATAAATGTAACAAGCATATTAAATAAAAAGCCGGAGGGGCAGCCCTCCCTAAAACTCAAGCCAATTAATAACCATGCAGTTCTCCAACATTTATAATACATCACCATCATACCGATTATTATGAAGATGGAATTAAAATATTAAAAGCTTCATGCTGCTGCCACTGCCTACATAAGGGGGGGGGGAATCAATGATAAAGAAAAAGAAAAAAAAATAGAAGCGCTGTTCAGCTTGGCACAAGTATAGAGAACCTTTAAAAAAATATCTGTTCTTTTCACTCCATCATCACCTTTCCCACTCAGTCTAAAAGCCTCTTTTGGCTGAGAATTTATTTCAAATGAATTTGCTTCTACCTGCTCAGTTAGTCCTTCTCCTTCACAACAAGTATATGATTTCCTGCATCTGTAAATGATGCTATTTTCATGTTTCATTTCCTCCAAGCAGTCGCGTATTAGGTGTCTTTTCTGCATATCTAATCGTATGAAATGACCAGCTTTTCTCCATATGGAAACTGAAGAGAAATTGTAGAGTGACATAGAAGGGACTATCTAACAAAATGAAATTCAATGGTGAAAAAAGTAAGGTTCTACACTTAGGCAAGAAAAACCAAATGTACAGGTATAGTATAGGGGGTACCTTGCTCAATAGTAGTAACTGTGAGAGGGACCTCGGAGTCCTAGTGGACAGTCACTTAAATATAAGCCAGCCATGTGCTGCAGCTGCCAAAAAAGCAAACACAGTGCTAAGCTGCATTAACAGAGGGATAGAATCAAGATCACGTGAAGTATTAATACCTTGGTATTAATAATAATGCCTTGGTAAGGCCACACTTGGAATACTGCATCCAGTTTTGGTCACCACGATGTAAAAAAGATGCTGAGACTTTAGAAAGAGTACAGAGAAGAGCAACAAAGATGATTAGGGGACTGGAGGCTAAAACATATAAGGAACGGCTGCTGGAATTGGGTATGTCTAGTTTAACGAAGAGAAGGACGAGGGGGGACATGATAGCAGTGTTCCAATATCTCAGGGGTTGCCCCAAAGAAGAGGGAATCAAGCTATTCTCCAAAGTGCCTGAAGGCAGGACAAGAAGCAATGGGTGGAAACTCATCAAGGAGAGAAGCAACCTAGAACTAAGGAGAAACTTCCTGACAGTGAGAACAATTAACCAGTGGAACAACCTGCCTCCAGAAGCGGTGAATGCTCCAACACTGGAAGTTTTTAAGAAGAGACTGGATGGCCATTTGTCTGAAATGGTGTAGGGTTCCTGCCTAAGCAGGGGGTTGGACTCAATGACCTCCAAGGTCCCTTCCAACTTTTTTTTTTATTATTATTATTATTATTATTATTATTATTATTATTATTATTATTATTATTATTATTATTATTATTATTATTATTATTATTATTATTATTATTATTATTAATAGTTGGGAGGAATTTTAAGATCTTAGAATTGGGGAAGCTACTTAGGTCAACTTCCTCTTCAGTTTAGCAAACTAAATTAAAACATCCCTAATAGTTGGCTTTCCAGTCTCTCCTTCAACAAATCCAATGTTCACAACCTCCTTAGGGATTGTTTTCTTTGTCAAATTGTTTTTTTTTTCAATTAGGATTTTTCCCCCTTAACGTGCAGTCACAATTGCCCTCTTTATAATGTATATCCATTATTCTCTGCCCAGAATGAATGAAAAAGAGGTCTCAGGTTCTTTCTGAGATTGCAGTGAGAAAGTTGTGTAGTACCAAAAATCAGAAGGAATCTGGTGGCACCTTTACAGACCAATATATATTATTAAAAAGCATACAGGTAGCCCTCGACGTATGACCACATTTGAGATGAAAAATTCTGCTGCTCGGCGAGATATTCATTAAGTGAGTTTTGCCCCTTTTTATGACATTTCTTGACACAGAAGTTCAGTGAATTACTGCAGTTGTTAAGTTAGTAACACGGTTGTTAAGTCATCTGGCTTCCCCATTGATTTTGCTTCTCAGAAATTCACACATCATGATCCCGTGACGCTGGGACACTGCAACTGTCATCAATACATGCCAGTTGCCAAGCATCTGAATTTGGATCAGGTGACCATGGGGATATGGTTAAGGTTGTAAGCGTGAAAAACGGTCATAAATCACCTTCTTTCAGTGTCATTGCAACTTTGAATAGTCACTAAACGAATGGTGTAAGTCGAGGACTAAATAATAACAACAACAACAACAACAACAACAACAACAACAACAACAACAACAACAATAATAATAATAATAATAATAATAATAATAATAATAATAATAATAATAATAATAATAATAATAATAATAATAATAATAATAATAAAGTTGGAAGGGACCTTGGAGGTCATCGAGTCCAACCCCCTGCTCAGGCAGGAAACCCTGAAATACCATTTCAGACAAATGGCTGTCCAGTCTCTTCTTAAAAACTTCCAGTGTTGGAGCATTCACCGCTTCTGGAGGCAGGTTGTTCCACTGGTTAATTGTTCTAACTGTCAGGAAGTTTCTCCTTAGTTCTAGGTTGCTTCTCTCCTTGATGAGTTTCCATCCGCTGCTTCTTCTCCTGCCTTCAGGTGCTTTGGAAAATAGCTTGACACAGTTGTCTTACTAATAAAGTTTATTAGTCTGAAAAAGGTGCTAGCTGACTTCTCATTTTTATATGATCCCTTTTTGATACCTGGAGAACATGATAACGTTACTTTCCTTCAGTCCTTTCTTTTCTAAACTTTTCCAGTTCTCAAATACAAATCTAGTCTTATTTGTAACTCTTCTCTCTCTTCCCTGTCCTGTTTTGCCCTCCCACGAATACAGACTCCACTTCATAGTTTTCCATACAGAGGACTTCCATGACGTTTTGAGGATCTGGGATGGGCCAGTGGAGAAGAGCATCCTCCTGAAAGAAGTTAGTGGTTCTGTCTTGCCCAATGATGTCCACAGCACCTTCAACCTGGTGGTCCTTCAGTTCAACACGGACTTTTTCACCAGCAAACAGGGATTTGCCATTCAGTTTTCAGGTAATTTTCACAGATGCCACCTGGTCTTTGGGGTCAGGAGAATGAAAACAGGAGGACCATTTCATAGATGTTTTCGACTCTCCACGACTCTGCCTGCTAAGCTGTAGGAGAGAGAATCCCCCAAATTTATTAATTTCAGCATTCATGACATGCCAGTTCCTCGGCAATTTTTCTCTCAATGCTCATGCAATTTGACGAACAATAACTTGCACTAGAAGTGATTTAAAAGGAGAAGAGAATTTTAAAGAAAGTGCCTTGGATGGAATATAGCCTTGCACTTTTTAGGAATGAAAGGGTAAGTGAGTAGGTATGAGTGATTTAGCTTTTCACTTTGCTGTCCTCTCTCCAATGGTGTGCAGTTTGCCTGTCTCTCACACTTAAATCTCAGGGAGATTTAAATTGACCTTTTCTGGTGTTAGGATCATCCCCAAAGTGAAATCCGTGAGAAATTAATGAAGAGTTTCTTCTCCTTCTGGAGAAATTCAGAGAAATCATCCATTTAGTGGAGGATTGCAAAGGGCCATTTATACAGCTGTTTCCTATATATTGTTGATCCAGAATAGCAACATAATTGTGGAACAGAGTAGCTGGAGATATTGTCTTCAAATGCATATTGTAATATTTGTACCAAGACTGTAATTAAATAATCTTAATATTTAACATTATTTAATATCCTACATTGACATATTAAATGTTAAATATTCAAAGGACACCAAAACTAAAACTGACATTTGGAAAGGCCAAATAGATACGCCTTTATGTGCTTTTTTAAAACCAAGAGATTAAGAGAGCAACCGAAGCCGCAGGATTAGAGCATTCCATACTTTGGGTTATCCAACAGAAATCCTTCCAGTGAACTAAGCCACTGCACCAGAGGGGTCTTGAAAGGGATAATTTCTGCATATTTTAATACTTCGGCAGGTTTGCAATAAAATCTGTTGACCCTAAGATAGTCAATCTTTAAGCCATCTAATGCTTTAAAGGTTAAGACCAATATCTTGATCTGAATTTAGCAAGCAATTACCTTCTTGGCCACATTTGTATTCATAGAATTGAACTATTACTCATGAATAGTCCTACATATAATGAGCTGAACCAATCCATGAGAGCCAGTTTGGGATAGTGGTTAAAGCATCTGACTGTGGAGCCCTGTCTTAGGTACAAAGCCGGCTGGGTGACCTTGGGCTAGTCACTTTTTCTCAGCCCAAGAAAACTGCAAGGCAGTCTCTGAGAATTGAACACAATTTAACAGAAGGGGGAAAAAAATACAGAATCTAGCCAAGGTAGGGATAATTGCTGCCATCCAACTAACGCAGAAAGATTTATAGCTACAAAACTAGTAGAGTTAATCAAATGTCTGACTTGTTACAATCACTACCTGAAGATGCTGGGAAAGCGCCCTGCAAGTTGATTTTTCACTGGGAGCAAAAGTTATTTCAGAACAGGCTGCATTGCAGTTTTCAGCCCAGAGTGATGACTAACCATCAGCATTTTGATTTGCCTCAGCGTGTTCACTTTCCTCCTGCCCATTATCTGTCTTGGGCAGCATATAAGTGAAACAGCTTCTTTCTAGAAATTAGATGAGAAATAGCAATAGAGCTGAGTGTTAGTGAGGTATTTGGATGGATGGATGGATGGATAACAATATTATGAAAGAAATATTTGAGCAGTGACTACAATAACAAACAGCACCAGTTTTCGTAAGAAATGAGGCTGAGACTGTGGGTTGGTGTCACAACAGATGAAAAACCAACGAAACTGGAGTGCAAGCTCCTAGAGCAATGGTGGCAAACCTATGGCACGCGTGCCAGAGGCGGCACTCGGACCCTCTCTGTGGGCACACGTGCCGTTGACCGAGCCTCGCCTCCCCCCATAACCCCCTCCTCACCAGCAGCCCCCCCTGGAGGAGAGTCGCTGCCGAGCATGGCCCACACGGAGCAGTGCAGCCAAGGACATGGCAGCCAGGCAGCATAGACAAGACTCTGCCCTCACACCCCATTGTGCACATTTGATGCTGCAGGGTGCGGGCAGAGGGCGTGGCCGCCATGGCACTGCTGGGCTGCCTGGGTGATCTGTGGCGGGCCCTGGAGGCGGTGAGTGGCCCTGTGGGCAGGTGGGGTGGGGGATGAGGTGGGGGCGTGGCAGGGGCAGGGCAGGGGGTGGAGTGGGGCCAGGGCCAGTTTTGGGGCACTTGGTCTCTAAAAGGTTCGCCATCACTGTCCTAGAGTCAGAATACCTATTGCTCAGCCAGACCTTCCTTCCTGGATTCATTTTCCAGGGACTAGACCGGAGTTTCTCAACCTTGGCAACTTTAGACTTCAGCTCCAAGAATTCCCCACGTAGCATTCTTAAACACGTGCTACTGGTTTTAGACTTTAAAGTTGCCAAGGTTGAAAAATGCTGGACTAGACACTATCCTTCTGGCTGGTTTGTTCACTCATGTTTGCTTCTTTGGTGACCTGCTTTTCATCTGTGAATTATGCACGCTGAAAGGATCTGCAAGCATGCTTTGATTTATCTTGGCTGCATTTGTGTTAAGAGGCCAGATCAAGACAAAGCCAAGGGCATTTACCTGCAAATGAAGAAGAACCAAATTATTGACCACAAATTTTTGAGGGATCCATTTTCACTGTCCACATTTTGGCAAAGGCTTGACAAGTTCTAGAATTAGACATATTGCTTGCCCCCCCCCCAAAAAAAAAAGTTTCTTGTCTTCTCCATCACTAGCTTAAGCTGAATTGGTCCCATCTGACTCTGTTCTTCTTTCACTGCTGTTCTAATGATCATTCCTCTAGTTTTATTGCCTTAAAAAATCTCAGACCTTTTCTATTTAAAAAAACAAACCCTACTTATTTTAAACTCCTGAGCTTTAAAAAGAAAACAAGGTTTCATTTCAGACAGCATTCAAGACACTCTGGCACATCTGTAAAAGAATCAAACTTATCATTCCTGCTAAAAGCAAAGTTCCTCTCAATCACAAGGAAGAGGAGACAATGTGCACATTATAATTTATTTAACAGCATAGACAACATAGTGTTGTAGCCGAATGCCAGGTAGAAGTAGCAGATGGCTAGATGTAACAAGATGTAATAAGTAAACGGGAAAGTGTGCTGATGTATACATATATCTGATCTTTGTGCAACAGACTTGGATTTGTTAATCCCTACAGCCTTTTCCAGCTGGAGAAAGAAAAGTTTGAAATCAGTAATGCATGTTTAAGCATGCATCCTGGTCCAATTCATCCATATGTGTGCTCACTGTAGCTCAAAGGAAGTTTGTGCAAAGTCTTTTCTCATTGTCAAGGTTTCAACTCTGGACTATAATGATGCAAATAATCCTAAAACATTTGCAGAATGCATTGCATGAGGTAGCAGTGATCTATGAGTTGAGTTTCATGAACGGTTGATATATTTTAGCTACTTGGCTGCTACCACCTCACTTATTAGATCATTGAGCACACAGGTAGTCCTTATAACCAACTGACTGTTCACAGTTATGACAGCCTTGGAAATGTTCCTTTATGGCCCATAAAGCATTTCTGGCTGTCATAAAACATTGTGCCACACTGACCGCATTTCAGGTGTTTGGCAGCCAACTCTCATTTGCAACTGTTTGCCAAGCACCCTGCAATCATGTGATCATTGTTCACAATCTTCTCTGCTGACTTCCCTAAAAGGTCAGTGGGGAACTCAGCAGGAAAAGTTGCAAGTGGAGGGGATAGAGGGATGGAGGGATGGATTCTCTCAGCCTCCTGAAGGATTGCCCCGCCTTCAACAGAAAAAAGCTGAATTTTTTTTTTGGCACACCACAGGAACATTTGAGAGCAAAAGGGCTACCAGCTGGGAGGATTTCAGCTCTGCACAGTGCAGGCAGCCCTTTCTGGCAGGCAGCCCTTTCCCTCTCAAAAAGCTGATGCCTAGAGGCGGCTCTTTTGCTTTATCCATTTGACAATCTGGATGATCACTTAACAAGCACAGTTGGGAATGCTGGGATTGTGGTCAATGAACAAAGGAGTCATGTATGCATCTCCCTTAATGACTGCTTTGCTCAACTACTGAGATTTCTAACCAATTGCAGCCATTAAGCAAGGAATATCTGCAGATTTTCTTTTCTAGTTTTGTGGTCTGAATTATATAATAACAGTGCTGTAAACCCACGATCCTTTGAGTTTTGACCTGTTTGGAAAAAAATAGGGGATGAGCATACTTTATGTTTTCAGAAAGGGATAGTAACCATGGTGGTGCAGTGGTTAGAATGCAGTATTGCAGGCTAATTCTGCTGATTGCTGATTGCCAACAGTTCGGCAGTTCAATTCTCACCCGCTCAAGGTTGACTCAGCCTTCCATTCTTCTGAGGTTGGTAAAATAAGGGTCAGATTGTTGGGGGCAATATGCTGACTTTGTAAACTGCTTAGGGCTGTAAAGCACTGTGAAGTGGTATATAAGTCTAAGTGCTATTGCTATTCTATTTGCCTGGACCCCAAATAGTGCATACAGCCTGGTACTGGTAATACCATCCTCATATTAATATATTTAGTTCACAACCTTCATTTGATGACTATCTGGTTCTAATCTGTCTTACTTTTGCCCTAATTTCTTCCTTCTGCTCACCCACTGCTTTATGTCTTGCCTAAAGTGGAGTTTGGGTTGATCCTAAGGTATTATCAGCTAATAGCTCTTTGTAGATGTATGTGGCTGTGGTTGCTTTTTGAAGTAAACAGGATTGCGTTGTTTGCCTTAAATGCTGATTCAGCCAGCAAAAAGTAGGCTTCTACAGAACATTTGAAGATGGGGAAAAGCTTATATGATTTATTGGCTAAAACTAGCATTGTGTTTCAAAGTCAGAAGAAATTTTAGCCTGTCCAGGGACAAATTTCTGAGTGACCTCACGGGATAGCAGTAAAGGGAATGTAAGGGAATGTGCACAAACTGCTTTGAATGACACATGGATGCACATGACCTTCTGAAGCACTCCACCAAAGGACTGGGCCAAAAGATTGGATGGACAGTCGCACTGAATTCCTCAGCATGTCTGGCTGAGGAAATCTGGGATTTGAAGTCCACAAGTCATAAAAGGGCCAAGTTTGAAGACCCCTGAGTTACACCATCAGTATTGTACTCCATGATGGACAATGATGGACTTGATGGATTCCGTACCTCCTCCTTTGTTCTGCTTAGCAATGAGGAACATGGTGCTTTCTGCTTAGTTTCCCTCTGAAGCCATCCTTGCTCTAACTATGTGCAAGGTGGCTGCTCTTTGTACCCTGAGCACCTCCAGGAAATGCAGTGTACTATGCTCACCATGAATGTCATGTCGTAGCTTCAGCGTTTATGGAATAATTGAAAAATTCAGTGAATAATTCTGTTCCCTTGGTTCATCCCATTCCCTGACCTTTTTGCTCTTAGTGTCCACCGCCACCTCCTGCAATGACCCTGGGATTCCACAAAACGGGAGTCGGAGCGGTGACAGCAAGGAGGCAGGAGACAACATCATCTTCCAGTGTGATCCAGGATACACCTTGCAGGGGGACGCCAAGATCAGCTGTATGCAGATTGAGAACAGGTTCTTCTGGCAGCCTGACCCACCCACCTGCATAGGTACAGATGGGTAGAACAGGCCCATGACTGCAAATCAGAGCCAATGAGAAGGCCTTTCCTTCTCAGGATTCAGATATTGAATTAGTTGTGCTGGGGCACTTTACCCTTTTCCCTCTTTTGGGTTAAGAGTCAGTGTTAAGCAGAAGGATAGAGAAAACATCTAAGCAACTTGTAGGGTGGGATTCAAGGTAGCCCTTTGGGGTCCCAATCAAGGGAAATCGAATGAAATATATTCCTTTCTTAAGCTAGCTTAAGAATATGTTTTCTGCCCCACTCCAATGCTCTTTCTCTTCTTTTAGTGCAGGAGTCTCCAACCTTGGCAACTTTAAGACTTGTGGGCTTCAACTCCCAGCCATTGGCATGGCTGGCTGGGGAATTCTGGAAGCTGAAATCCACAAGTCTTAAAATTGCCAAGTTTGGAGACCCCTGTTCTAGTGGAAGGCAATCTTGGGCTTCTTATTTTAAGTGAGCAACCTAATAACGTGACACATCTCTAGCAGAGTGGGAAACGGGTAATTGGATGTGAATAGTTCCATCAGGATGGAGATTTACATTTGTTAGGCAAACGTCAAGGGCACGTTAACATGAACTTGCTTGTAGGGAGCTGTTGGTACAATGAGGAAATGTTGATGAGCCCACACAACAACAGCTTCGCTTCCCAAGAAACGCATACTCTTTTTATGACTGAGCTGACTTCTCGTTTTGAAGCCTCATCAAGCTTGTCTGGATTTAGTTATATGGCTTAAACCTAATAGAGGAAGGTATCAGCTGAGGAGTAGAACTGGAAAAGAGAGCTAGTTTGATAGTGGTTGAGGCACCAGTCTAGGAACCGGGAGACTGTGAATTCTAGTTCTAGTCCTTCCTTAGGCACAAAGCCTGGGTGACCTTGAGCCAGTCACTCTCTCTCAGCCCTAGAAGGAGATGAGATAAGGACAAACACTTCTGAAAACATTGCCAAGAAAACTGCAAAGACTTATCAAGGCAGTTACCAGGAGCCAAGACTGACTCAAAGGTGTGTGCACGTACATGTGCACACACACACACACACACACACACACACACACACAAGGGGGGGAGGTGTCTGGAAGAACAAATGTATACCCGCTTTCAGAACTTGAGTGTTTGTTATGTAAAATGCACAATGAAATGAACTTCAGAATTAAGCAAAAAAAAAAGGTGCTTCATTTGTTTAGCACAGCGGTAGGCAACCTTGGCTCTTTTATGACTCGTGGACTTCAACTCCCAGAATTCCTGAGCTAGCCATGATGAGGGAAAAGGAGAGGTTTCCAAGCTGAGCCAGGCTGGCTGAGGAATTCTGGGAGTTGAAGTCCACGAGTCTTAAAGTTGCCAAGGTTGCCTATTCCTGACCTAGATGATAGATAGATAGACAGACAGACAGACAGACAGACAGACAGACAGACAGACAGACAGACAGACAGACAGACAGACAGACAGACAGACAGACAGACAGACAGACAGACCTAGATCAGGGGTAGGCAACCTTGGCTCTTTTATGACTCGTGGACTTCAACTCCCAGAATTCCTGAGCCAGCCATGCTGAGGGGAAAGGGAGAGGTTTCCAAGCTGAGCCATGCTGGCTGAGGAATTCTGGAAGTTGAAGTCCACGAGTCTTAAAGTTGCCAAGGTTGAGGACCCCTGGTTTAGCATCACTTTTACAAAAGAGGAAAGTGGCCTGTAACTTAGTCCAAGGCTCACACAACATCAGCAAGTTATCAGGGTGTGGCAGGAATGGGAGGAGCAGGCTTTGCCGAATTTTATGGCAATTGGTTAAGCTAGCCATGAGTTTTCTCAATCAAAGCAGGAGTGGAGGGAGATTTTGGGGATGAAGGGGTAAAGTTCGAAAGCATTCTCATTTTGCTGCACAAACCATGGTTAATTACAGGTGGAGACATGGTCTTAGACTGCCTCAGGTTTAAAGTCTTAATTGGTCCTAAATGCAGGTATAGGTTGTTTGAGGGCGTCTCTCAAAACAAGCTGTGATTCTGCTCTCTCCTCTCCTCCTTTAGCACCTTGTGGTGGGATCCTGGCAGGACCTTCCGGGGTTATCTTGTCCCCCGGTTACCCAGAGCCTTACCCTCCAGGAAAAGAGTGCGATTGGAAGCTGACTGTCTCCCCGGATTATGTCATTGCTCTGGTGTTTCAAACGTAAGTGTAAGATACGGATGCAACTCAGTAAACTGAGATTAAACCTGTTGGTTCTCTCTGAAGAAATCACCTTTCTGTGCTAGAGGGGGGGTCCGATGGCACAGTGGCTTTAATGACACTCGGTTTGTCAGCAAAAAATGGTTGACACTCTGGCGGTTCAAGCCCATAACACGCAGGGCAGAATGAGCTCCCATCCTTTGCCCCCTAGCTCCTGTCTACCTAGCACAGGGGTAGTCAACCTTGGCTCTTTTATGACTCGTGGACTTCAATTCCCAGAATTCCTGAGCCAGCATAGCTGGCTCAGGAATTCTGGGAGTTGAAGTCCACGAGTCATAAAAGAGCCAAGGTTGACTATCCCTGACCTAGCAGTTCAAAAGCATGTAAAATGCAAGTAGATAAATAGGTACGACTCTGGTGGGAAAAGCTAGCAGCGTTTCCTTCTGGGGCTAGATCTGACCGGATGCGAGGCAAAGTCGGGGGAAGAAAGCCCAGATAATAATAATAATAATAATAATAATAATAATAATAATAATAATAATAATAATAATAATAATAATAATAATAATAATAATAATAATAATAAAGTTGGAAGGGACCTTGGAGGTCATCAAGTCCAACCCCCTGCTCAGGCAGGAAACCCTATCCCATTTCAGACAAATGGCTGTCCAGTCTCTTCCCAAAAATTTCCAGTGTTGGAGCATTCACTGCTTCTGGAGGCAGGTTGTTCCACTAGTTAATTGTTCTAACTGTCAGGAAGTTTCCCCTTAGTTCTAGGTTGCTTCTCTCCTTGATTAGTTTCCATCCGTTGCTTCTTGTCCTGCCTTCAGGTGCTTTGGAGAATAGCTTGACTCCCTCTTCTTTGGGGCAGACCCTGAGATACTGGAACGCTGCTATCCTGTCCCCCCTCATCCTTCTCTTCATTAAACTAGACATACCCAATTCCAGCAACCGTTCCTCATATGTTTTAGCCTCCAGTCCCATAATCCTCTTTGTTGCTCTTCTCTGTACTCTTTCTAGAGTCTCAGCATAACCCGACATTCTCCCGAATGCTGCTAGTCAGCTGGTGCAAAGCTAGTTCGCCCCTGTGGTATGCCATGGGTAGTGCACACGCATGAACAAAATGAACTAGCAATCTTAGGCTGCCAAAAATCTTTTGTAGTAAAAAAAAAAAAACATTGTAGACTTCCTTGGTTATATACGCCATATACTAAAAAAAACCCTACCACCCCTTTCTGTATTGTTACTGTCTCTTGACAGTTTCCCAGAAAAGAGGGGGTTGATTCACAGAAAAAAGAATCAACTATGCCAACAGATAGTTGCAAACCTTCTCGAATATCTGGGAAAAGACCTGCCTTGATGCAGGATCATAGGAAGACTGTTGGGGGAAAAAAATCAAAATGTCTGTGCCCCAAAGTGAGTGGAGATATATTGGTCAAAAATGGGGAGTAGTTCAGCTAGGCATCCAGAGCATGTGTCATGGCTCCGACACATGAAACTCTTCAAAGAACTTTGAGGCATTGTTTATCTTAAAGCATCTTTATTCGAGTAGCATAGCATTCGGCAATTACATAGGCAAAGCCAAAATCTGAATTCCCGTCCCCTGAGCACATAGTATCAAAGCACAATTCCCTCCTCTAATTAACAGTCATAAATCACATTCTCCCATTAGTTTGGAATGCAGGCTTTCCCTCCAGTTCCTCAACTCGCCATTTCTTATCGTCTCTTATTTCAAAAAACCTTGGTTCTCACACTAGTTACAATATTGTTATGTCTAAACTCCCATGCACATTCCTCCTCCTCCCCCCCCCAGTATCATCTAATTCTAACTCTAATTCTAAGAGTAAAACACAAGAAGGGAAATGGCTGCATCTCCCTATGTTGTCAAAGCAAGAACATCCGATGTTAGCAGCGTTGACAGCATGATCACATGACTGCAGGAGTATGTGCAACCTTTTGTAAGGGCCAGAAGTACTTTACAAACTGTAAAGCACCCATTCTAAGGCTGTTGTGCGGTAAGTTGAGAAATACCTGTAAAAAACCTGGATGGAAGCTCATTGTTCTACAAAGCTGGTGTTGCTTCCTTCATAAAATATTCATTTCTTGCAGCAAACCACATTTTTCTAGTAGGATTCCCACATCTTAAAGTTCCCAACTTTAAGTAAACATAACACCACGGTATACAAATTAATCTATACATGCCGTAGTTTTTTGTTACTGATGCATAACCTGCCCTCTGTTTTTGCAGCGAAGCGCAACTGTAGATTCACTACAGTAGCTTTCAAGTCTACGCTGCTTCTTGCATCATAACATTTCCCGCAGAGCATTCTGCGTTTAAGCCTACAACGTGGCATTATCTACTTACAAAAGTAGATATAAATTCATATCACCAACCAACACACTTCTGCTTCCACCACAATTTATATATATTTAGCCACTGAACAACCAAGAGGGCATTACAACTCCTGCTCTTTGTTGATTTATTCGCTAGGTATTCATTTAGCCCTCACTCACGCTTTTTTCTTTCATAATTTAAACTATTTTAATTAAATTCATTGTCATATTTTACTAAAGATTTTAGGAAGGAGCGTGCAAGCCGATATAAACTAATAAAGAATGAGAAAAAGAAAAGAAGAAAAAAAATCAAAGCAAACGCTAAAAGTGCATGAAAGGAAAAATATATAAAAAGAAAAAGGGAAGAGGAATAGAAATAAAAAAAAAAAGATTTAAAGAAGGGACATCCAGTCTACTTTGAACCAGTTAGAAGTTTAATTATAAGTTTACCTCTTGCTCTATGGCTACAGCATAATTCTCTTTCTATAATATGTTTTGTGTAAACATCAAAACCATAAATCATAAGCTCATTTTTTTCCCTGTTTCACGTAAAATGTCTACAAGAAGTTTCCAATACACATAGATATTACCTCTTCTCTGATCAAAGAAATCAATTTAACCATCTCAGCAAATTCCATCCTCTTCACCAACCGTCCCTCCATTGCAGATAGTGCTCAATCTTTCCATCTTTGTGCATATAATAATCTTGCTGCGGTTATATTCATGCTTCATTTTCATCATCTGTAGCTCTACCACTTTCAGCAGTCATCTTCCCATACAATTTATATAACCATCCTTTCATACAATTTGTAGCAATTTACAATCTATAGCTCTACCACTTTGCAAAAATGTATAATTTTTTTCATGACTCCAGCCAATTCCCATTTGTCATAAATGTTCTCCAAGTCAACAAAAATGCAGTACTTTTCTTAACTTTCATATACTTTTCAATGCCTTCTTGTCTGCACAGCCTGACATCAAAACCACTTCCCAAATGTTATTCATTGCCACCCCTTGTACTCAATTAACCAGAATTCTACCAGGTCTCTTCCCAGACATACTTAATAAAATAGCCCTTGTGTCTCTCCTTTCTGTGCCTTGCCTTGTATAAAGGAATAACAAGGACATTCCTTCAAGCCCCATATCCCCATATCCCCATATCCTTCTTGTGCCATATCCGTTATCGGACATTGGCGATCCTGTTTTTATCAGCAGCCGCACGAAAAAGTGCTGCTGAGTTTTGTCCAAACCAGTCCCTTAGATTTTGAAGCCACGATGTTCTTCTTCTGCCTGGACCTCGTTTGCCTTCAATCTTCCCCTGGAGGATTAAATGGAGTATGCCGTATTTTTCTGGGTGTCGCATCACATGTCTGAAATATTCTAATTTTCGTTTTTTAATTGTTTTGATGATTTCCCTTGGCTTTCCCAGGCGGCTTATCACCTCCTCATTTCTGATCTTGTCAGCCCAGCTTATACGTATCAGCCGCCTGTAAATCCACATTTCAAATGTTTCTAGTCTGAAATGTGTGTGTGTGTGTGTGTGTGTGTGTATGTATATATATACACCAGACAATAAAACTAATTCATTGATGAGATATGGACATGCCTCTGTTCTTGTCTCGCAATGTTTTGCCAATGTCCATTGTTGTTCTGAGGCTGAGAGAGTTCCATTGTATCGCTGGTCTTTGTAGTCAGATATTTGATACACTTAGTTTTCTTTATTTTTCCCTTTCAGGTTTAATTTGGAACCCGGGTATGATTTCCTGCACATCTATGATGGGCCCAGCTCACTTAGTCCCCTGATTGGGAGTTTCTATGATACCCAAGTCCCAGAGAGGATTGAGAGCAGCAGTAACAACCTCTTCCTGGCCTTCCGCAGTGATGCTTCTGTCAGCAACACAGGATTTGTCATCCATTACACAGGTATGTCACGTATCTTGTAGATATGCATGTCGTCCTTCCTGTCTTCCTTCATGTACCTGCAAGCAGATTTCAAATCTCATTTGATTCAGGTTACAGTTAGAACAATTAACCAGTGGAACAACCTGCCTCCAGAAGCGGTGAATGCTCCAACACTGGAAGTTTTTAAGAAGAGACTGGACAGCCATTTGTCCGAAATGGTGTAGGGTTTCCTGCCTGAGCAGGGGGTTGGACTAAATGACCTCCAAGGTCCCTTCCAACTTTGCTGCTGCTGCTGCTGCTGCTACTACTACTACTACTACTACTACTACTACTACTACTACTACTACTACTATTAGGTGTAGCAGCTGCAAAAAAAAATCTATTTCTGCATTTGTGAGTGCTTCTAAATATATTGGATAGATATATTGGAATTCAGCTCCGTCTTTCTCCACCCATTGAGCCCACTCTCGTAACCTTTGTGGTGACGTGGTTTTGTACCCTGGAATTATAGCTGCTGGAGTCAAGTCCAATAATCGGTTAAAAGGCATGCAATAAAGCTGATGTAATCATTTTTGTTATGTGGTAAAGTCTGAGAATTAAGCCCATGCAAGAAAGGAATTAGAAAAAATATATATTTTTGAAAGAAAAGTCATCTGCTAAGGGGGTGCATCATAGGAGTAGGAGGAAATTGTAGAGGTGACTTACATGTTTTATTTTGCCCTTTTCCCATTCCTCCTCTGTATCAGAGCAATCCAGTCCCTTCTCCTTCACTCTTAGAGACCAGTGTGTGCTCTCTTTCTATTCCCTTCTGGCTTTTGGTTTCTGCCCTATTGAAGCACATCAGGTGCAATACTTTCATGCTGCAGAGGGTTTAAAAGATTTGTTTGATACACACAGGAACTTAGCATGCACCAGAGAGAAGGAGGTGAGAGAAAAAACTATTTGTATTCTATGGAGAATGCACTGATCACATTTTTATCTGTTACCCTTCCTTCTTTCCAACCCTAGTTCATTCAAAGTGGAAAAGAAAACCTTTTCAAGTTTTCTTTGTTCTTTGGTTCATGAAACAAACACACAAACTGATAGAACGTAGGGACATGTAGACTTTGCTACAAGAGAGATCATCTTGGCACATCAGTCTGAGCAACTGCCCATGAACAGGAGGTTGATAATGGCAATCTGGCCAGCTGGCATTGCATTGACTCTTCAGGTAGAGTAGCGCCACCACTTTGAGACACTTTGTCATGTCAGAAGAAAGTGGCATGGGGTGAATCACCTAATTGAAGCATCTGGCTAGTGATGCCCACACTCCAAATAGACAGGGTTGTGCCCAGCCTTTCTTCTACTTTGCATAGATGTGCCAATAAGCGAATGGTTAAAACAAAGCGAACTTGTGTGTGTGTGCGTCTCTCTCCTTCTCTCTCTCTCTCTCTCTCTCTGTGCGTGGGAAACCACAAGGAAATAAAACTCCTAGATGGAAGGCAGTGGCAAAGTACTTTTGTAGCGTTTCTAAGAAAACTACTTAGCTGTGTCTATGTAATCAATGGAGGATAGACTCAAGTAAAGAGATTTTTTTTATGCCTGGATACACAACCTAAAAATGCTAAGCAGGACCAAATAAAATAAACTCCAAATTGGGTTAAAGTGGTCTTCGTGGGGGAGAGGGGTGCAATGTCATATGAACCCATTGCTCATCACAACAGGGACATTTAAATTGACTTAAAGATTGCCACAGGTACTAAAACATACTTGAAAATCTCCCAAGGTATTCCTATTAAGATAAAAATCAACGAGATTACCAATGGTAATTTGTTGAAATGACAAAACTCATTCAGTGATATCACTTTTACAATACAGATAGTTCTTGAATTACAATAATTTGTTCAGTGACTGTTAGATGTTATGAGAGTCCTGAAAGAAGGACTGGTCCTTGAAGTTTGATAAGATTTTCTGATAGGTTTTGGATAATGATGTTTGGGAAGCACTACTCTAAATTGTCATAGAGATTATGATCTATGATTGATGTGGTGTAAAACCATGATTGTGGATAGCAATGGACTAGGGACATATATTCAAGGGTTATCCTCTTGATGTTCTCCAGAAGTGGTGGAGTAATTCTTTCCAGCAATGGTCCAGGAGGTTCAGAAGGAGCAGATCCTACATGCCTGGAGGGGTTGGGATCTAAGGCTGCTGTAGTGGATGACTAGGACATCCAGCATCATTTTAAGATGGTTACAGGAAGAAAGTACCCTGAGAAAAGACCCTCAAGAAAACACCACATTCAGTGGAGTTTGCGAGCCCCTCCTCTTTCTCTGCCAGTACTTTGTTGTGCAATGTGAAGTGTTATTTTATTCCTCTCCAAGTAAGCATCAAGACAGAGATCAAGCCTGTAGCTGAGACGCCTGACGGGGGTGGGAGGCATTGTGTCAAGCCAAAGATGTAGCTGCTACTTAGATAAAAGACAACTTGGCTCTTCAAAACAACAAGAATAAGTGTAGAGTGATCACAGGAATATAGTGGGACAGAGGATTTTTTTTTCTTTTAGCAAAAACTGGCTTCATAATAAGCTTTAGAAATAAACACCGTGGAAAGAGAAGAAAAGATTCTTTCTCTGCTTCTTTGACTTATCAGTGGCTTATTGGCATTGATCTATGAAGAGTGGCTTTTATGACCTAGCATCATCCAGGCAATCACTCTGGGTCACAACTGGGGGGGTTAGATTATATGGTAGATGACTAGCACGCAAACCAACTAAAGCCCTCCCAAACATCTTAAGTAGACCAAAAGACTCAGTAGCTCAGAAAAAGAAAAAAAACAGGAGTCATCTACAAAATACAATGTAAGGATTGTAGCATCCCCTTGTGTAGGATACATGGGCAGAAGACAAGCAGAAAGCATCCATGAACACCAACTAGCAGTCAGAAGACATGAGAAAAATTCCTCAATTGAACAACACATCGACAGACTTCACCGTAGTTTCAACTGGGAAACTAAACATCCTAGACCTAGATCATCTAAGTCCAAAAACACAAGAGAATTCCTGGAAGCCTGGCACTCAGGAAAATCAGCCACCAGTTGGCACATCGAGATAAACCTACATACCATTCAAAAGAGACAATCAAAAAGCTAAAAGACCACAATATCACATCACCAGCAATCAAAACGCGGATAAGCAGCAATTAACACCAAGATTAATACTAGACCAACAATCAAGCAGTAAACAATACCCCAATCAAGGAACTACTAACTGAGACAAACAATCATACAGTAAACAGCCTAATCAAGGAACTACCAAGAACACTCCCACCAACATCAGCTGGACAAGCCAGTTGTGTATAAAAAGACAGCAAATCCCACTCTCTTCTAGCACTGATGCTGTTACACAACCAAACAGCCAAGCTTAGAGAGCACCAAGGACCCCCACAGTTCAAACTATTGCATGTAGACAATATCTTTAGCTGTTGGTAAATTCTTTCTGACAGGGGCCTTTTACAGATGTGAGAAGGCCCTGGGCAATGGAGAAAATAGACTGTGACTATCACCTCCAATGTGAAAACAATACCCTTTTATAGATCTGAAGGTAGGGCGTGTATTTTTGGAAGTCTCAATCCAGAAATACTTCAGACTCATTTCCCATGTGTCCATCCATCACCTAGAAAACAGAGTTTTGCTAATGGTACAGAAGCAATTTACAAGGAAATCAGAACGGATGACCTACTTAATGAGGAAATGCTAACAGGACAAGTTTGAACCATTGGAGGACGGGAGAAAGAACAGTGTTCTCCTCTTCCTCTTCCTCCTCCTCCTCCTCCTCCTCCTCCTCCTCCTCCCCATGACAATCTAATTCCCAAATATGCTTTCTGATTGTGCCAGGGCCATGCTGTTCACAATTAAAATAAAATATAATAAAAAGTTCTGGTCTTTTAATGAGCAATTTTCAAATGACAAAACCTCTAGATTAATCAAAGCCTCTAATTATATTTTATGCATGAAGAAAGAAGAAGAAAAAAAAGATTACACACGGGAAAGTGAGAAAAAAAAAACCCCACACATTTGGCTAATTTCTTTGTTTCAAGTCTTGACTGATTTTTTTAATGTCTCTCTATCTTTTTGTCCGTCTGTTAAAACTGACCACCGTGCTCCTCTGCTTAGAAGTAAACCTCAATTGAGTTAAAAGAAGGCCCTTCCTTGGCGACAGAACCGTCTGTAATCACCTTTCAATTATCTTGGCTGTGTTGCTCATCAAGTTAAGAGATTCGCTCTGGAAAGGGACCTTTGCTCAGTCGGAGAGATGCTTGAGGAATTTAATTTTTTTATAAATTCTAATACAATCAGCATCTTCTAGGTTAATGTGGGGCAGGAATTTATAGCTCTCGACCAGCTTTTGCAGTTCCTACATTTTCCAAGGTAACTTTCTTAAAGCTGCAGTGCATCAATTTTACTCATGTCAGATCTGCTCTATGGCTATGGAGCCAGAACTTCTGGACCCACCGTTGACACTGGAATTGAAAGTTGTTTGTTTGTTTGTTTTTCTCCACTGTAATATTGTCTGTATCCATAAATAGCTCTTGAAAGAAACATGCTTCCTGCTTCTTCCACAACTACCTGGATGCCTGTAGATGTTCTTTCTGCTCAAAGTGGTGATGAAGGATTAGCCCAAACTGGGTTCCATCCCCCAATATTTTTTTTTCTTCATTTCTGTTTGTCAGATTCCACTCTTTCTTTTTCCAACAGTTACTGATGCTTCTGTTGTTGTTTTGAACAATCTCCATCCTGAGTATAATTATACATTATCTTAGCCTGATTATAATTAAAGCCAGTGCAGATAGTAATTGGCCTGTTCAGAAAAGCAGATTGTTTCCTTGCTGTTTTTCATAAGCAGGGATCCTTAACAAAAGTTATAATTGCAGTTTGGGCTGTTATGTTCTCTTTAAATAATGGATTGCTTTTCACCATATGACATTCTCCAATATTTCTTGGAATTGAATCCAGGGAGTATCTGAAAGAGGACAGGCAAAACAATCAAGATGGCTGCTGCAGGTTGTGTGATTGATATCCCGCCCCTTTTTTTTTTTTTGCAAGCCGATGTGACTTTGATCATACCATGTTTTTAATATAAATAAATAATTGTGTGATTGATGTCCCGCCCTTTTTCTTTTGCAAGCATTGCAAAAATTGCAAAAACCTCACTGATGTGACTTTGATCATACCACGTTTTTAATATAAATAAATAATTAAAGTAATTGTTTTCGATTTATAAGTTCATTTATAAAGACAAGAGGTTTTTTTTAAAAAAAACCAACCTAATAATAAAATTACAAAATGTACTGTATATTGCGATGCCCATTGAAAGAGGATGAAGTATCAATCACATGACCAGCTTGCCTTTTTGACACACAGACACAGTAAACATATACTCCAATCCTGGATCTCAAACAAACATAGACAATGATCTGGGACTGAGTTTCTTTTGGCTTTCAGGCATGTATTTCAGACAGAGAAGCATGGAAACAGAAATGTGGGATCCTACATTTCCGCAGGCAAATAAAATTTCTGATTGATAGACCCATGAGATCTCTGCCTTGGCTAGACATGGCTTAAGACTAGAACCTCTATTTTCCCCTGAGTTGAAGCAACGAGATTTGCAATGTCCATTCTTGTAACAGGCAGACAGTAATTGCCCTCTGAGCAGGACAAGTCTGGAATTAATAAGATATCCCACTAACCCTGAATTCAGCAATTCACTCTCCATTTCAGGCTGTAGAGACTGATCTCAAGGGCTGTAAATCTACGTTTACATGGATTTGAGTATTGGTATTCGTGACATCAGTGGCACTGATGAACTTCACCATTTGTTCCCGAATTAACAACCTAGAAATGGTTGTTTGGGCACCAATGAAGAATTTTGTAGCTACGATGATTAACAAAAACCATCTTTTGAGCTAGTACTTGGAATTGACAACCAGACAATGTAAATGGATTCTCTGCACCCTTCCTATAGCCTAAAGATTGATATTGCACCACTGGAAAGATAAATGTATGGCACATTTTACTCAATGGATTGAGGACTTGATTGCACTTGTCACCTACTGCTGATAGATGTTGTATGGACAAATATAATGAAATATGGGCCTTTTTTATACAAAATACAATAGGTCAAAAATAATAGTTATATCAGTGTATTAGTTATATGTATTCAAATAATAATTGCATTAAATAATTACCCCTGGAATTGTCTATGGAGATTTTCAATAATCCAGATCATGGTTGTCCCAAAGGCGCTTTTCAAAGGCAGGTGGACTTTCTTAGAAACTGGACTTTCTTAAAAGTCCAGTTACCTTTCAAAGAGCATCTTTGGGACTTCTGTAGAACTGTAACTATTTTCTCAGGCCAAAGAAACAAGATTGACATGTGGAATTACTTAAGGGTAGTTTCCTTTATTGTTCTTCACCTATCTTCGCCTATAGATCTTGTCAGACTAAAGCAACTATCTGTATAACTATAGATATATTCTGTGAACTACTGTGAGCTGCTAGTGAGAAACCAATCTTAACCTCTTCCTGCTGATCATACTTTCCAAGCTCTGCTGCCTCTTTGCCTTGTGGGAGGCAGCCACCCCGCCCCCCCTTTCTGGGAATCCAGACTACATTCCACCACATTTTTACTGTTACTTGGTATACTTTTTTTTCTTTATTATATTTTTTTTTTNTAATAATAATAATAATAATAATAATAATAATAATAATAATAAAGTTGGAAGGGACCTTGGAGGTCATCGAGTCCAACCCCCTGCTCAGGCAGGAACTCTACACCATTTCAGACAAATGGCTGTCCAGTCTCTTCTTAAAAACTTCCAGTGTTAGAGCTTTCACCGCTTCTGGAGGCAGGTTGTTCCACTGGTTAATTGTTCTAACTGTCAGGAAGTTTCTCCTTAGTTCTAGGTTGCTTCTCTCCTTGATGAGTTTCCATCCGTTGCTTCTCGTCCTGCCTTCAGGTGCTTTGGAGAATAGCTTGACTCCCTCTTCTTTGGGGCAGCCCCTCAGATACTGGAACACTGCTATCATGTCCCCCCTCATCCTTCTCTAATGGAATTTGGTGCTCAGGTTAAGAAAGCAAGGCCAGAAGTACCAGGAAATTGATGTTCAGATTTTTTTTTCCAGAAAACCCCAGAGAATCCTGCTTTGATCCAGGTCTAATTAAGAATGGGACTCGAGCTGGAAGTGAGCTGAAGCTGGGCTCCACAATCACATACTACTGTGACAGTGGTTATATGATTGAAGGGGTGTCCACTGTGACGTGTGTCATGGGAGGAGATGGGAAACCTGTGTGGAACAAGCCAAGGCCCATGTGCACAGGTAAGCTGGAGGTCTTCTGAATTCAGGTTGAGTGTCGCTTTTCTTCTGATACATATACCTATACATGATGTTGTTCGTCCATCGATTTTCGATGAAGACCTTGACATCTTGTGCATTATGGGCCATCAGCGGTGTGTCCGTAGATGGCTGATGAGACCGATGTTAGCACGGAATGTTCTGCCACATACTGAACAGAGAAATGTGGACACTGTTGCTTCAGCATTTGCAGCTCTGGCTTTACGGAGTGCTTGCTTCTCTTGTGCCAAGATTGTCCTCCTGTGTTCATATGTCTGGCACCCCTGGTAAACCAGGGTACGCCATGTCGGTCGATCATGCGCCAAAAATTCCCAAGAGATGGTGTCAATATCCAGGGACTTGAGAGAGGCTCTCAGCGTGTCTTTGTATCGCTTCTTTTGTCCCCCATGCGATCGCTTTCCTTGAGACAGCTCACCATAGAAGAGCTGTTTAGGGATGCGATGGTCTGGCATCCTTACAACGTGGCCTGCCCAGCGCATTTGGGCTTTCATCAACAGAGTGTAAACTGATGATAGGGCTGCTCTGGAGAGGACATCTGTATCTGGTATCTTATCCTGCATATATATTTCTTTTCCATCTCAAAAATGTTTTGTTTTCCATATCATGTCCCATAGGCCAACAACCTCATTATCTAGGGCATTCCTTGAAATTCTCCACCATTTGAAATCAATTTCTGTAGAACAATCATTCATTAGGGTTTTATTGCTCCCAGTGTATAATGCAGCATAAGTTATAAAAAATGTATCAGGTACAGGTTCTGCTTAAGATGCATTCTGCAGCATGCCTGCTGCTTATTGCCTATTGAGTTAATAGAGTATTCTGGGCCAGCAATCTGGGGAAGAAAAAGGAGGCAAATATCAGAAGCTAACCTCATTTTTCCTTTCTCCATGTTGTAGCACCATGTGGAGGTCAGTACACGGGGTCGGATGGTGTCGTCCTGTCCCCCAACTACCCTCAGAACTACACCAGTGGACAAGTGTGCCTGTATTTCATCGTTGTGCCCAAAGATTATGGTATATCCCTATTGTTCATGCCTTCTGGCCCTTTTCTGGTTGTAGTGTTGATACAGAAAGGTGAGCAGAGATAATATGAGGCAGGGATTCCTAATGGCACCCAACAGAATGGTGGAATCCGTAGCTGAGTATACAGGGCTTTTCAAGATTCTTCACCAAATTTGCCAGCTGAAAAACTATGCAGATGACATCTCTCAATTTACCTTGCAGACAGAAAAAGTCTAAAACAATTTCTCAAAAGGGTAGGTTTATTCCTTAGAACCAGTTTGGGATAGTGGTTAAGACATGAGGTTCAAAACTGGGAGACCAGGAGTCTTGCTGTAATCACGAAACCAGCTGGGTGATTGGGGACCAATCACTTTCTCTCCGCCCCAGGAAGGAAGCAATCATGGCTCTGAAATCATGGCTAGAAAGCAGCAAGCACCTGTTCATGTAATCAGCAGGAATCAAGGTTGACTTCAAGGTAATGAGAGCTGGTTTGGTATGGTCATGATGGTGCTGGATTAAAAGCCAGGAGATCATGGATTCTAGTCCCACCTTACTGTAGTGGCCAAAATTGTGGAAACCTTTTGGGAAAAGTGTATTTTTGAGGTTTGATGGCTAATAACACCACTTTTTTTGGAGTAGTACCATCAAAGTATATATCAATGGAAAGCTAATTTAATCAAGAAGGTCATGCAACATAGTTTGTTCAATTATCTGTACTGTATTCTATGAAAGGTTATAGCCAAATAACCAGAAAAAGGAAGCACAACTTGCTTAAGTTGATCTCAGGTAGCTTTCCTTCACCTGATTGTAGCCAATGAGCTTGAGTGTTTAGAGAGCCAATCAGGTGTCATCTTGTTTCGGCCATGAGCCAATCAGATCACAGTAGGATTCAGTGATTGATGTCATGTATTGAAGCTGAGAAGCTGAAAAACAAGTTGCACAAATTTGGCAAAATAATTTCTTTCAGCTGCTGGTCTCTCCTAGTAACTTTTGCATTCAGTGTTAAGTTAATTTTGAACCAATATCTGAAGTTCCAATGACTTTAACTGACACAAATGCATTTGTGCATGCATGTGCCTAAAGCAGATGTGTCAAACGTCATGCAACGTATCGGATGACGCGGCTTCCGGATGACGCGTCCAGCCCACAGGCCGGCAGTTTGACACCCCTGGCCTAAAGCCTTCTTGAAGCTGCTTAGACGCATATCTTGTGGGGGGGGGGAATTATTGGATCATCCCTTCACATCCTTATGCTTTTTAGATATGGGGAGAGAATTCCTGACATGTCCCAACAGACATCTAGAGCAGGGGTCCCCATTCCCAGTCCGTGGACCAGTACCGGGCTGCGGCATACCAGCAACCGGACCGCACAAACAAGCAAAGCCCCATCTTCGGGATGCAGGCAGCACACAAAACCACACACCCACCGGTTTGCGGAAAAACCTCTTTCCACGGAACCGGTCCCTGGTGCCCAAAAGGTTGGGGACCTCTGTTCTAGAGAATACCTGATTATATTAACAATTTGCTTGGAATTAAGTCCTTCTTTATACAGTATCTTTCTTGAGTTTCTTGCCAGACATTCCGCCGAATGGCTAATAAGACGGTTTTGTTTTCCCTGTAGACTGTGAATTATGCATATGCCATTAACGAATTTTACAACTTCAAGGAGCTTTAGTGCTTTGGCATAAAACTGCATAGAAATCAGTACCACAAATGTTTTTGATACATGGCTGTATGTTTCCTCTCCTAGGCCCTGACATTGTTTATAGCTGGTTCAATATGTTACTAGCTAAAGGTCCATTAGCTTCAGTAAGGGTGGAAAAATAAAATCGCAGAGCTGGCAAGGATCATTGAAATGTCTTGGTCAATGGAGAAATCCAAATTAACTACCCCCACCCCCAGGTGATAGTCCATTTTTGAACACATATGGACACATCTAGGTGAAGTGGAGTCTACCACTCCCTGGATCATTGCTTCCATTGCCAAATTTCTCTTACTGTTAAGAAGACTTTTTCCCCTAGCATTCGGCAAGAACGAGCCTACATAGGATAAATTTGATATCAGTTTTATTTTTAAAAAACTCTATCAGTATTTGAGTGTCCTTGAGTCTCTTTTTATAGAGCTAAAGTGAAATCCAAGTTTTAAAAAATAAGAGATGAAATATATTTTAAAAACCTGCAAAGGGTCATAGTCTCAATTTTTCACAGCTTGCACATTTTCTCCTCCTATTCCCAGGTATAAAATTTATTATAATGTCGCAATTAAAATCTGGCAAGGCTATCATAGAGCAGGGGGAAAAAATGTGTCAGTGCCAACCTTGGTTCACTGATTACCATTTGGCCATTCTCAGTAATGAGCAATCAGTGAGTCTTTTTAAAAATTATTATTTTTCCCATATTATTTATGTCTTGCTTGTTACTTGTAGGAAAATCCCAAAGCAGGAATATCACTGATTTTAAAAATAGTTGCAATTAAACATAAATAATTCAGTTTCAAATGTGTGTCCTGCTACCTCCCATTGGTTGGAACCATACATTCCTATGACTCAAGGTCAAACATGCTGTGATTCAGAATCAAATAAAACCAGACCAGAAAATGCAGCTATATACCTATTAAACATATGAACCAACAGATTGGATGAATAAACTAGTGCACTGCTGTAGCCAAACCAATCCAAAATGGGGTGAGCCAAGTCAAAGTTGACCTTCACATTTGTATATTTCTAATACTTCCTGCGTTCATCCTTTCCCTCCTTGAATTGCTGAAAATACCAACAGGACAAGCAAAGGTAGAGTTTCAGAAACAGAACAACAGCAGATAATATCCCAAATTGGTCCATTGGCTGCAACGTGTTGAAGTTGTCAATATTTCCAATGACTCTTCTTGCTTAGAAGGATGAAACCTCCAGAGCTTCAAACTGCTGCTGTAATAGAATAGAAGAGAATATTTCATAATCCTACTTGTTTCAGTATATAAGTGGCCCTTATCTAGTTGCAGGTATTCAAAGATTCTGCAAAGCTCTAAGGAAAAGAGACTCTTCTAAAAGAGTCCACCAAATTTTAAGCCAGTTTCCTCTTCTTCCCATCACTGCTCCATCCCTTCTCATTTGACCCTCCCCCCTCTTTTCTTGGTCATGTTCTGTGGGGGTCAAATGCTATTAAGCATATTAGTCCACGTTGAAGTGGCATTTGGAAGAGGGACTAAATTTATATATATATATATATCTGCTAACTTCAGCATTTGGTCAAATACATACAGAAAGGGAGATATCATGCAGAATAAAAATATATCACACAGAAGAAGGCCACAGAAAGGAGGTTTATAATAATTATTTTAATTCCCGGAGGATAAATATTGATTGAATGTTAGAAAAAGCTCTGAACTGTAGGAGCAATTTGACAGCTGAACCAGCTCCATCACTGAAGGTTTTTAAGAACAGGTTGGATAGTCACTTATCTGAAATGGTATAGGTTCTCCGGCTTGAGCAGGGGGCTGGACTAGAAGACCTCCAAGGTCCCTTCCAGCTTCTATTCTATTCTATTCTATTCTATTCTATTCTATTCTATCCTATTCTATTCTATTCTATTCCAAACAGCTGGTAAATTGCCCTTCAATTTGCTGGGGAATTCTGGGTGAGAAATGCAGGCTGGGAAATTCTGGAAGTTTAACTCCACATATCTTAAAGGTCCTAAGGTTGAGAAAAGCTGATCTATCACATGGATGCTGGACAGTAAGATGAGTGGCATATACATTTAATAAATTAAATAAATGACAGGGATGTTTTGAATGGGATTCCAGAACCGGTCAGAGAGATGGATTCAGTGCATTAATAACCCCCTCTCAAAATCTTGGGGCTCAAGCATCTTTACACGTCTCTCAGCTCCATTTTAGCTTCAGCTTTGCCAACACAAGGGCACCAATCTGGTGTTATAGAGAGTGATGGTCAATGTGTGCACTTCCTCCTATGTTTAAATGCCCCACTTTTCTTTCTTTCTTTCCTACTGATAGTGGTATTTGGCCAGTTTGCCTTCTTCCAGACAGCTCTCCATGACATCATTGAAGTACATGATGGTCAAAACCAACATTCCCGCCTCCTCAGTTCTCTCTCTGGTTCTCATACAGGTAAGGAGAGGTTCTGCCTCTTTCTTCCTCCTCTGGGTAAAAAAGCTTCCTAAGAGATGTCCATCAAAAACTGTAGGCATGCCTTTGATTATGGAATTGTTAAAAGATCATGCTCTGTATGTTCAGTCTATTCCAGGGATAGGCATAGCTGACTCAGGAATTCTGGGAGTTGAAGTCCACGAGTCATAAAAGAGCCAAGGTTGCCTACCCCTGGTCTATTCATTCCCTTCCACCTATTCCTGCTTTGATATCAGTTCTATGATGGCTATTTGCATGTATTCTTTGTGGTTGTCTAAAATGTTTAGCCATGGCGATTTCCAGCTCAATCCACAGGGAAAAGGGAAGTCATTCCACCACTGTTCACATCATTTTCAGGGCAGATATTATCTATAGAGAAATGAAACTGAGTAAAAACAGATCTAATTGACACTTTGGCAACTATAATTCATATCCTGACCGCCAATTTGTGGAGCTACTGTGAAATGCTGTACGTGGGGCTATCGATGGATATGTTCTGGTAGCTGTAGCTGATCCAGAATGCAGCAGTGAGATTGCTCAGAAACCAATAAATGTTCTTAATAAATAATAAATAAATAATAAACTTACATGGTACAGTAGTGTTTCTCAACCTTGGGAACTTTGAAATATGAGGATTTCAACTCCTGGAATGCTGGCTAGGGAATTCTGGGAGTTAAAATCCATATATCACCAATTCCCCAAGGTTGAGAAACATTGGTCTGGAACAGGATAGGTAACCTTGTCTCTTTTATGACTTGTGGACTTCAACTCCCAGAATTCTTGAATCAGAATGGCTGGTTCAGGAATTCTGGGTATTGAAGTCCACAAGTCATAAAAGAGCCAAGGTTACCTACCTCTGGTCTGGAATAACCCATTGAAGAAAGCCCTGCACTGGCTATCAGGAGGAATTCAACCCCAGTTCAAATGCTGGTTGTCAGCTCCACATCCATATCTAACATAGCACCAAGTTATATCAGGCATTGCCTCCAGGATTGAGTATGACTTTCATGAATGGACATCCTAGGGGAGCTGCTCAAGTCCTTCCACCACAGCAGGATAAAGAGACATGGAGAAGTCAGGTCTTTTCAGAACACCTCAACCTGGAGGTTCATTTGGCTTCCTCCCTCCTAGTATGCCATAAAATGGTAGAACAACTGTTTTGTTATGTTTTCAAAGATAAGCCAAGCCTCTCCAAAGGGAAAACTGTCTAAATGAGTAAAAAAAGTTCCAGGAGCAGTTCTAATGAATATTCATCAAATGAGGGAGGAAGTGCTGTTGATTGTGTAATATTTGTTTCCTTAACAATACAAAACAGAACATTAGTAGAGACATGGAAATGTACCAACAGCCCATCGAACAAGTAATGTGTAAAATTCCCTCCTACGTAATTGTACAGGCCATCAAGGCTGTGCCCCAGTTTCAGTTTGTCTTCTTTCTACTCTCTACAATGTGTGCTTTGGGCTATTCTATGTGTAGAATTTATGTGGTGACTGGTTGTGTGTGGCTTTTTAGTTGTTGATTGGGGTGTTGATGGCCAGCTATTAAGTGATTGACTGCTGTTTTGTTGTGCTGCCAAGTTCTGAGTATCTGATAAGCTGCTGGTAAATCAGCACTCCTGTCGACTGACAAGGAGACCATTTCCCAGGCTTCAATCATTTCCCTGGCTATTTTTGTACCTGCTCGGCCAACAATCTTAGTAGCTGCAAAATTGAATGTATGTCCTTGTTCATTGCAATGTGTGGCTACTAATCAATTTCAGTCTTCTCGTCTGACCACTCACTTTTGTTCTTGCAATCTGGTTTGGCTTCCTCCCCGTCTGTCCTACATAGTCACAGGGGGCAATCCATGCAGGGGATCTGGTAGATTACATTAGAAGTATATCCCACCTTCAAGCAATCTTTGCAATGCATTTGTCCTGGTATGGTAGCCTCTGGGCAATGTGCGATGCCCACTTGCAGATCTCAGAAATTGCGTTTTGCTGCTTCTGAAATGTTTTTGATGTATGACAGGGAAAGACCAATGTAATAATGTCTATATTACATCATATTACATATAATATCTATGTGGTTCTAACAATCATTTCATCAGAGGCAGTGAAACAGGCAATGATGGGAAAAAATATTCCTTCTATGGAATGCCTTCCCCCAAAGTCTCATCAGGTCTTTTGGACCACAGGAATAGAAGTTTTGATTCTCCCAGATATTGTCCAAAATCTTTTAGTGAGTTGAGGTCACTTGCTTTCATTTTAATCTATTTCCTACTTTCATTGAAAGTTTATGTATTGCTTTTAAACTTGTTATTTGCTTTCCTTTGTTGTTGTTGTTTGTAATATGCTATATTTTCTCATAAATCAAAATTTTTACTTTACTGGAGCTTAATTTACCTAATTTGAAGGTGTGCCATTCATAAAATGTAGGTGGTAACATGGTCCCAAAGTCTAGTAAAGAACTAAGTCGAGGTTTCTTATTTTATTGCGTTTTTGCTAAAGGTTTGTTTCTTTCCTCCTTTCCTAGGTGAATCATTGCCTCTGGCTACCACCAACCAAATATTGATCAAATTCAGTGCCAAAGGGCAGGCCACAGCCAAAGGTTTCCATTTTGTCTATCAAGGTAGGTGAGGAGTCTGGAAATAAATCTGCTGACTGTGACAGTCAAATAAAAATAGAGCATAAGCACTCCAGAAATAATAGGAAAGAGTGTGGCCTAAAGTTTTCTGAATGGAGAATATGCCACACTGCAATTTACAGTGACTTTAAATGTAAACTCTGAACTCCTCTGGGCTCAGACATAAAATCTTATTGCATCAGTTTTTCCTTTAAATCCTCACCCTCTCCTGACATCCCCCTGTTTACGCAGTGCATGTTCAAGTGAAGAAAGCACTTGAATTTTGCTAATCAGAGTTTGTGTCTTAGGGTTTAATCTTAATTTAGGCAATGTCTGGTAGAATTGGAAGGGAAATTCAGTAGAAGAGCAATGAAATTTTAAAAAAAATCCAAAAATCAGTTTAGTCAGTTTGTTAGATATGAGAACTCAGCAGAACTTTATTACAGATCCCACTGATTTACTTTGCTAGTCTTAAAAAATGCCGTAAAGCTCCATCTATGCTTCTCATTTATAAAATTATAGCCCTTTGTAATATAAATAAGAAACTACAGAGTCCTCAGAACAAATGGAAACTATTTTAGTAGTTCTCCATTACACCAAGCGAATCTTCTTTCCAGCAACCATCTGTCTGGAAAAGAATTGTGGGTACAGAACTAGGTCTGTGTTGAAATGGTTCCATCGTCACAATCTCTCTTGAGACTCAGGGTTGACAGTGGCCAGTGACCTCCTTCAGCACACACCAACTTCTTGATTTCTACATTTTGATGAGATAACAACAATAATGACAATGCTTAGATGAGGAACAAACCAACTTCCATCCCCATCTTTATTTCCAAAGTCGTTGATAGCCACCAAATGGTAAGCAGGGATGTAGGGAGTGTCCTACAAGGGCTAGAAGAATTAGCAAGTAATATTGAGGTGAGTAGATGTTTATGTCACCCACTGAAGCCATTTTGTGAGTGAGCCAACATCTTCTCCTGACAGCCATGTGGTAAGAGTAGGTGGTCAAAGTTTTAGGTAGAAAAAGATTAGACACTCCAGATCTAGGAGAATTCTCAAAAAAACACAAAACCCAACGTTCTAGCATCAAACGAAAAATGAGCCAAATTAGAAGAACCAGGTAGTTCCTTTCTTCTGCCTGTATGAGCTACCCATTGCATCTCGCTTGTTATATATATTCAAAACACAGACTGGATGGTCATATGTCAAAGGTTCTGGGACTGATTGTGAGAGATGGTGTCAATGGAAGGAGTGCAGGTATAATGGACCACAGTGAAGTAGGAGGTACTTTCCCAAGAAGGAAGCAGCACATTCCAGAAAGTGGGGGAAGACATGCAGCATCGCAGCATCGTGGATAGGATTCAGAGCACATGGATAGCCACCACCACCACCCCGGGTATATCCCTATAGGTTTAGTCTGGCAAGAGTCTGTCTATTGTATGTAAGCAGGTACAGAACTGAAAACTCCGGATGCTTGGCTGAGCCTGACAGTGATCAAGCATTCAGAAGGAACTGGACTACATGAGTTGAGATGTTCCTTCCAGTTCTGTGGTTCTGTGGTTCTGTGGTTTAGTGGTTCCGTGACTCCCACTTGAGAACTGACAGTGAGATTTTGTGCAAAGAAAGCAAAGACAGCCACGCTCAGCTCTAAACAAGCCAGCACTTCAGCACTTCAGGGACATGATAGCAGTGTTCCAATATCTCAGGGGCTGCCCCAAAGAAGAGGGAGTCAAGCTATTCTCCAAAGCAACAGAAGGCAGGAGAAGAAGTGACGGATGGAAACTAATCAAGGAGAGAAGCAACCTAGAACTAAGGAGAAACTTCCTGACAGTTAGAACAATTAACCAGTGGAACAACCTGCCTCCAGAAGTGGTGAATGCTCCAACACTGGAAGTTTTTAAGAAGAGACTGGACAGCCATTTGTCCGAAATGGTATAGGGTTTCCTGCCCGAGCAGGGGGTTGGACTTGATGACCTCCAAGGTCCCTTCCATTATTATTATTATTATTATTATTATTATTATTATTATTATTATTATTATTATTATTATTATTATTATTATTATTATTATTATTATTATTATTATTATTATTATTATTATTATTATTATTATTAGTAGTTTCAAATGTCAGTAGCCACCCTAGTGACCATAGCTAGGTCATTACTGCTTTTTTTTCAAGTGGAAAATATCCAGAGACTGCCCCCCACCCTCTTTCCCTCCTAAATAGGCTGCCTTTGTCAGTACACACAATGTGCCTTCCTGGGTTTCCACCAAAAGCCTCTCTTGAAATGCTACTTTTAGATTCTTTGAACCAGCTTTACTTTTTTCATAGATTTTTGTTTTCCCCCCCCCCAGGATGTTTTTCAAAGGCTTCAATGGAAACTCCTAATAAATGACACATCTGATGTGCCTGATGTTCTCCAGAGGGAATAAGAAAAAGGCCCTTGAGTGTGATTCTCCAGAAGGACCTCAGCATCAGAGTTGCCCCTTGGAAGTTTGTGTGTGTGTGGGGGGGGGTTGATTTAGAGCAAAGTGTGAGCCACCCCAGAGAAACTCAGCTTGGATTCCTTTAGATGCTTTGTCTGCCTAATCAGAGAGCCATTCAATCAACACCCAGCCTGTTTTGGAGAACATATTTTGATAGCAATTTTTAATGATTTAACTAGACATTGAAGAAGTCAAATGAGAATTTCCTCCCTCCCTTCCTCCCTCCTAAATGTGATTGCAAGCCCCCACCCCTGCAGTTCTTGCTGATTGCCTTTCTATAAGAAATTGCAATGCAAACAGGCGTTTCCTAGTTCTTATGCCTGACCTTCTTAAGCTCACATCAGATTCATCTCTATCTCATCCAAATGGTCCTCAAGTCTTTACCACACGCAGCAAATGTATCACTTTGGTTTGGGCATACAGATACTCCTCGACATACAAAGCATTCCTTTAAGTACCGTTCAAGGTTACAACAGCACTGGAAAAAAGTGACATGATCGGTCCTCACACCGATGACCATTTCAGACCATATCATGGGATCAAAATTCGGGCGCCTGGCAACTGGTATGTATTTATGATGGTTGCTGTGTCCTGGGATCTCACGATTGCCATTTGCGACTTTCCCAACCAGCTTCCGACAAGCAAATGTGTGTGGACAAATGTCTGTATCCATCAACTCTTTCCATAGCCCTAAGCCTCATCACCCCACCTCTTATCCACCTCATGGGTTTTTTTTATGGCAGAATCAATCATTACCTACCTATCGTCTGTTTCTGTGCCATAATTGACCAATGAAATTGATAAACAGCAGATAAAATAGGCAAAGAAAGAATAAAATCTGGTCTTGGAAAGGAATTATTTCAGATACTATGTGCATTATAGGTGATGTTCTAGCTGACTTTTAACTTTTAGCTCTTGTACTAAAGCATCTGTTTACCAAGCCTCTAATGTTCTTAATTTAAAACATAAATAAACACCGGACTCTTTTCTTACATTTATGTTCTCCATAGTGTCACTTCGATTCAGCACTAAATTTCAACTGCAGAAGGTCCTGATGTTTATTTCTGGAATGGACTGATCTTCCCTAAAAAAAAAAAAATCAGAAAAAAATGGGAAAAATAAGGACTTAATCTTTTAGATATTGATAGTAGTTTTTCTAATAATATCATATGACGCTCCCTATGTTTTGCCTCTGGGAGTTTTGCTGGAGGATGAAGAAAAGGTCATGTTTCACTGCCTTCCCTGGAAATAATGATAAAGACACTTTCAACACAGGCTACAACACAAGGACACTTTTGAAGTCTATGTTTCACCCTTGATCTCTTACAAGAGGCTTATTTGAAGAGCTTGAAAGCCAAGCTCAATGAACAAGCTTTCCATCGGGTTCAGTATCTATCCTGCTCCATACTGTTCTCTTTTCTCTGTCTTTTGAAGCGGTTCCACGAACCAGTGCCACCCAGTGCAGTTCGGTGCCAGAGCCCCGCTACGGGAGACGGATTGGCAGCGATTTCTCGGTGGGGGCTATGATCCAGTTTGAGTGTATTGCTGGATATGCCCTCAAAGGGTCCCACAGCATTGAATGCCTGACGATGCCTGGAACTCTGGCCCAGTGGAACACTTCGGTGCCTACTTGTCTTGGTATGTATCTGCCAAGGACTGGACTAAGTGGCATTCATAGCTGGTCATTCTGTCCCATGCTCATATATATACACTGTAAAAAACAAATAAACATGAACACCAGAAAAAATTTAAACTAGAAAAGTTTAATAAAATACCGAGCTTTCGTCGGAAAACTACCGACATCGTCAGGGCTTAATGCCAGTCAATGGGAGTGTCTTTTATAGAGTTGGTCAATGTTTGCACCTGGCTCCTTAGCACTGGTCGATGCTGTATTTGTTCTTAGGAACCCTTGGCAAGGAGACAGACAGCATGAGAGGGAAAAACAACTGGAGAGACACGGAGGCAACGGATAGCCAAAAAAGGGGGGGAAGGAATACGCTTAATTTAGGAGCTTGTGGTGAGGAAATGGATAGTGATGCACGTACAGGTAAGGGGAGTAGAAGAAAAAGAACAAATACAGCATCGACCAGTGCTAAGGATACACTTAAAACACAGCCCAATCAACTAGGACCGGTGACGAGGTCCAGGAGCCGGATGCAAACATTGACCAACTCTATAAAAGACACTCCCATTGACTGGCGTTAAGCCCTGATGATGTCGGTAGTTTTCCGACGTGGAAGCCGCACCCACCCCATTTCCAGCAATGGCAAAACCGACCCGATACGTTGTGCGACGTCATGTGACATTGCGAGTTTGACATTCCTGCATTAGATGTACATCCCTAATCAAGGGGACCCATAACATGCCCTACCTCCCCTTCCCTGTTATATTCAAACGATATAGGAGGAGAGCCATGCTAGTCTATGGTAGCCCAGAATCTGAAAGTCTGGAAGCATCTTTGTGGGTCTTAACTGGCGCTACCAGACTTTTATCTCCAAACAAGGGAGTGTCACTGTAGCAAAAGCAGTATGTGGAAGGTTGTCTTCTTCAAAGTAGAAAGGCAGGTTATGGTACCTGGGTTACGTGCGGAAGGAGGATCATGACATATAGCAGCAACTGTCAGTCAGAAGAAGAGTGATTATGTCTGTGTGCAAAAGGTGCAGAGGTGAGTGGAAATTATGGATTGTCTTTCGGCTTTTTTGAATACATGGCAACTTGTGTGGCGAAAATCAAAACCTGCCCTTAGGTTTTAGGGTGGGGGAGGCTAGGCATTTGAGAGAATAATCGGATAATAATTCTGGGGAGTAGAAATGTGTACCTAAGTGCCATTCATGAGTAGAATGATTTCAGTCTCAAGTACTGCTGATGTAACACAGACTTTGTTGTCTGTTTCAGTGCCTTGTGGTGGAAACTTAACAGAGCGAAAAGGCACCATTTTGTCCCCTGGATTCCCTGAGCCCTACTTGAACAGCCTCAACTGTGTGTGGAAAATAACGGTCCCTGAAGGCGCTGGGATTCAGGTAAAGCACGGTTGTGAAGAATGGCTAGGTTGACAAGCCAGCCCGGGATCAGGAAGAAAGGATTTGAACAAAGACGGCTCTCTTTTTCTTTCAGCTTGTAGCCTAGCCAAGAAGTCAAGATGTTGGTCTTCAAATCTATTTTTTTCCCCTGCTAGCCTAGTTATTGATAAAATGACTGTCCAGGATTTAATTCTGTATGAAAGCACTGATGTGTCAAGTGTCAAGGAGACTATTTATCTCACAGAAGACATTGTAGGTGGAGGGCCAGAAAGTCAGACAGGATCTGATAGCATCTTTTCTGGCTAATAGAAATTTTGTTAAAGGGCATGAGCTATGCAGCTCACTTTATCAGATGCAAAATCTGATAGCGGGGTTCTTCTTTTGATGGCCCCGCTAGCTCAGATTTGAAGATGGAAAGCAAAGCGTAGGATAGAAATTCTCTCTCACCAAGCAGTCTGTGCAGCAGTCTGCCAGTTTTAAAAGCACTGATGGCCACTGTTATGCTCAGGTAATTTGGGAGAACTGGAGATACTCTTAGTTAACAGAAGTATCTACCCTGCTACCTCTCTTCCTAAAGTAACCAGACATGTCACTGGATAATGTTCAGCTCCTTGTCCTGAAGGATTTGAGGTTACCCAGTCAAGAACAGCTCAATATTTCATGTCTTCTATGGCAGAGTTCCCCAATCTTTTGGGCACCAGGGACCAGTTATGTGGAAAGAACTTTTTCCACAGACTGGAGAATGCATGTTTTTGTGTGCTGCTTGCATCCCATGGATGGGGCTTTGCTTGTTTGTGCGGACCGGTTGCCCGGTACTGCTCCATGGACCAGGGGTTGGAGATCCCTGTTCTATGACAAGCATGGACCTCTCCCAGATGGATCTGACTCCATGCTTACAACAGGGCATATGTTTAAACATCCTATCTGACAGTTGCATGCAAATGGTTTTGCATTGAGCTGGTTGACTAGAAGCTCTGTGCCGTCTAAGAGATTTATATCTTAGGTGAAGGATGTGAAAATATGATTATCAGATTATCAGGTACGGAAGGATGGGATGAGATGGGATGGAACAGGACAGGATGAAGATTCCATAACTTTGTGGTTCATAAATCAAGGACTACCCGTCATAAATTTCTGCCTTGGAGAGAAGGATGGGCTTGATCTTCAAAGTCAATTCTACCCCTTACCTTCCATCACTATTTTTTTTTTTTTTTTTGGTGGAAGAGAGCTGTATTGTCTTCAAGCTATTTTATTTAACTATGTGCGAGAGGGCTAGTGGTCATCCAAGATTGCTAAACATGAAAGCCGATGCCCGAAGAAAAACACGGAACCTTCTGAAAGGTTTGTCTGAGATAAAAGCCGCAGATACTTTCATCTCTGAAAGAAATGATCTGATAGCAGAAGCTTCCCTGCTTGGTGTCCTTTAGGATTCCACATCCATAATTGACTAGGCAATTAGGAGAGTAAAAACCCTCCATCTGGAGGTCTTCAGGTTGGGAAAAGTTGTTATGGAGAAATGTGGGATATATAATAATATCACTTTTATTAAATCTTTTCTAGCTGAGGACTACATAGTTTGAAGAGTAGTATGTACTACTAGTATCATGGACAACATGAAGCTTTTTCAAATGAAATGTATGCAGTGAGGGAACTGGCTCTTTGAAATTGGTGATAAGTTGCTAAAGTTTTTGGATTTTTAGTAGGAATAATTTGGTCTGATCCAACTGCAGGACCAATTGCAGTTCTTTAGAATATCTGTATTTTAGCTGGAGAGGGGAAATCCTGCTTTGTTTCAGTAGCCTGGCAAAAGAGAAGGCCGTTTTGCAGCTTCCAAATTCACAAGGCATTTTTTTTTTTGCGAGTATCAAAATTGATTAGCAGATCCGTTGTTGTTTTTTTAATTCTACTTAGTTTTGCCCTGGATTTCTTGAGACATGTATGCCTTGTTATAGATATTTCTCTCTGCATAGCACGGAAGAAAAAAAAGATCATTTTAGCAGAACCGCTAAATGTATTGCAAAACATTTGACACTTGCGATATCAAGGCGATAATTTATTCCATTCATTTGTTAATTTCAGTGGAGGTGGAGAAAGAGCTACTGGGAGAAACAGCCTGCTATTAATACTTTTTTTCTCTCTCTCCATTTCCTTGGAAAGCAGTATCTAAATTAGAATGTCTTTAGAAGCTAATAGATCGTATGAACTGAAGGTAAAATAATGATATTCACAACAAAGAAATATATTTCAGGAAAATGTAGTTTTTCTTCCTCTTCTTGAGGAACTGTACTGTTTCCTTCTCTCTCCGTATTCTATCCCAGTGTTTTCCAAACTTTGGAACAATGCCATGCACGTCATTATGTCATCACAGAAATGAGATGCAACTGAAGCAAATTATATAATTAGCATCACTAGTGTGATGTCATCATGGCATGACAGGTCTCCCTGAAGATGGCCATGGCTTTATGAAAACGTTTTGGGAAATTCAAGAAAATCTTGCACTGGTACGCACAGTCAAGGCTGCTTGCTTTACCTTCTGTACTAAATTAACTCAGTTTCTAGCTTTCCAGATTAAACTGAACTGAACTAAGCAGTCTGGGTTCATACAAGACCTTAAACCAGGAAAAAAGGAACCACCTGAAGTTAAAACCTAGCCTTGAAGAAAGGTGTTTGATCTGTTTGTACAGGGATGAAGTAGGTCCTTACAAGCATAACTAGTATGCATGATGAAGAGAAAGACGAGGGGGGACATGATAGCAGTGTTCCAGTATCTCAGGGGCTGCCCCAAAGAAGAGGGAGTCAAGCTATTCTCCAAAGCACCGGAAGGCAGGACAAGAAGCAACGGATGGAAACTCATCAAGGAGAGAAGCAACCTAGAACTAAGGAGAAACTTCCTGACAGTTAGAACAATTAACCAGTGGAACAACCTGCCTCCAGAAGCGGTGAATGCACCAACACTGGAAGTTTTTAAGAAGAAACTGGACAGCCATTTGTCTGAAATGGTGTAGGGTTCCTGCCTGAGCAGGGAGTTGGACTCGATGACCTCCAAGATCCCTTCCAACTTGATGATGATGATGATGATGATGATGATGATGATGATGATGATGATGATGATGATGATGATGATGATGATGTGCTAGGATCCCCATATAACTGTGCAGAAATTCTGCAAACAATTTGGGCTGAGCTGACAGTTTAGCATGTGCGACTAAGGTGTAAATATCTGCCTGTAACTCTGTGTTGCTGTAAACGTAACCAGAGTGTTTTAATAATGACCAACTGAGCACATCACATCTGAATTGTATTAGACTTCCATCGACTTCTGTTTTGTATGCCAGGTTAATCCTTGGTAAATCAGGTGAGCTGCTAAGAATAAAAGCATTCTTAGAAGTGAACTGTAGGCTGTATCTGACCAAGGAGATTTTGTACAATCTGTTCACTTGCTGGGACTTTTTGTATGAATTATTCATTTCCCAAGCAGCAGTTCTCCCAGGTAGTAAATATACACTGCAATTGCTGAAATGCTGCATATCACCTTAGAATTACAACTTTAAAATTCCCCCCTCCATTCCCCCCCCCAAAAAAAACCCCTTCTGAAAAAAAAGAGAGGAAAGAGGAATGAAAAGGAGAATAAAACCAGCTTTGGATTCTATTATATAGAATTCATTATAAGTTGGATAATTATTTCTTCTCTGTTTTTCTTTTTTCCAACTCTTGCACTTTTGCCCTTCTTTTTTCTTTCTTTCTTCCCCCCCCTTTTTTTTTTCTCACTTTACATTAGTTTTTATCTTCCTTTTAAAAAATCTTTGCTATATAAACCCATTAATATATTGTCAAACAAGTTGGATAATTATGTAGATTCCGGAGCAATTTGTAAAGGCTCTGTGGGGGTTATTAGCATTTTGTTGAGATGAACTCTAAAGGCTTTTTGTGTTTTGTTTATGTTTTGATTTAAAGTTTTCACAAAATGGCTTTAGGATACATTAAGGAGGAAAACAACTGAAAATGTCAGATACAGTTATTTATTGCCACCCTGCCAAACAACACCGTGTTTTTTTTTTCTATTGCCTTCAGTGAAAAACAAATTTTGCATTTTCCATGGGATAAATTTGTCCCAAATGCCATCCTGGCTAAAGGGCAGATATCATAATTAAGTGGAAAATGTTTTATGTATCATGCCATTTCACTAAAAAAAAAATCCCCGTTGCGAGAAGAAAGTGTGTATGATCAGGGATTATATCAGGGGTAGGCAACCTTGGCTCTTTTATGACTCGTGGACTTCAACTCCCAGAATTCCTGAGCCAGCCATGCTGAGGAGAAAGGGAGAGGTTTCCATGCTGAGCCATGGTGGCTCAGGAATTCTGGGAGTTGAAGTCCACAAGTCATAAAAGAGCCAAGGTTGCCTACCCCTGGATTATATCAAGGATTAAGGATTTCAACTCTTAGATTGGCCTGTCTGAAACTGAATTCCCTAACCGTGTTTCTGTGGGAAAAAACATTTCCCAGAGAGCATAACTGACAGATTTCAGAGAATTGGGGTGTGCTGTGAGAGATGGGTTAGCCTCTGCATTATAATTCTGAGGATCTTATCTACCAGACTTAAGCCATATGTGATGGCAAGAGAGATTTCAGATGTGTTCAAAGGCAGGATCTCAGTTGCCATGGGGGTTAACAGTGAAACTTGGAACCCCATATTAATTAAAACTGCATCAAAGAAGAGGCCTCAAGATGTTCTTCAGTGCATTTCAAAGCCCTTCACTCTAAAGTAGACACACTGAGATTTCCACACTGATAAATTAAGTGTGAAAAGAATTTGTTTTACAAAGTTTGTGAATCTACCATCAAAAATTAAACTACGTTTGGTTTACTGATTGCACATTGAATGGTACTGTTAGTAGTACTGGTAACTTTTCATTCTGAATGGTACGACAAACAGTAGTAATGTTAATAGCAATTGTTACTTTCATCATCATCATCACCATCATTTTTTTCTCTCTCTCCTCTGGCCTTTTCTCTGTTCCCAGATTCAAGTGATCAGTTTTGTCACAGAACAGAACTGGGATTCACTAGAAGTCTTTGATGGAGGGGACAACACAGCCACCATGTTGGGCAGCTTCTCAGGTAAGATCTGAAGGCACCATAGAAATCGCACGACTACAATGGGGTATAAGAAGAGGCAAGTGACATATCTGAAAAGTATAAGTGGTATTGTTGTGGCTCCGTCCTGTGAGCCCCTCTTATCGGAGGAAGAAGGCTCCGAACATGAAGGAGAGGAGATGGCCAGGTCTCCCTCTCCAGGACCCTCCTCTCTGGCAATGCCTTAGCTGTCTCCCGACGGAGAAGAGATTGGCCAGGAGCCAGGTGGTTCTGAGATTGGCCAGGAGCCAGGTGTTTCGGATAGTGATGAAGATACGTTGTGGCTGGATCCACGCCAGCGTAGGCGCGACAAGCGTGCGCAGCAGAAAAGGAGGCGTGCCAGAGATTAAGCTGAGTCACTGGACCACACCCCACAGGCTATAAAAGGGAGGTGGTGGCCATTTGAACTCTGTGACGGACAAAGCTAAATCTCTGGCGAAGTAGTTTGCTGTGGATTGAATTTCAAACTGTGTGTATTGTTTTTTGTTTCTGTGTTCTCTGAGTAAAAGTGCTTGGTAGGCAGCTACGGAGCTGCTGCCAAGTGTGGAGAAGTTATTTAACCCTCGGCTGGCTGTTTGGGTGTGTGTGTCAGACGGGGACAGAACAGGTATATAAAAGAAAGCATCAGACATGGTATCTTAGGTGCAAGGAACCAAGAATGACACAGCGAGTTACTCAGACTGGTTTTCTATTGTTACCCTTCTCTGTCAGACACAAAGGATCATGGCCGTACATTAAGCCACAATTCAGGAAGATTTATTGCTCAAGCCTATGCACCAGAATCTAGTTTCTTCATTGTTTCTTCCCTATAGACAGGAATCTTGCCAGACTAAAGCCCACTCTACAAAACTATTGAATATAGCATATGAACGATTAGGGAGGGTCCCTTATTTTAATAAAGCTTTCAGTTATATAAATTGTCCATTTAAAATTTTAAAATTCATCCAGAGCAATGTTTCTCAGCCTGAGCAATTTGAAGTTGTGTGGACTTCACTCCCAGAATTCTCCAGCCAGCATGTCAAGACTGGCATGAACAGGATCCTCTCCTAGCACTCGAAAATATGCCCTCTGACTGATTGTGTATGTGTATGTGTATCTCTCTCCTCTTCCATTAGGTACCACTGTCCCAGCCTTGCTCAACAGTACCTCTAACCAGCTCTATTTGCACTTCTACTCCGACATCAGTGTCTCTGCTGCTGGATTTCACCTGGAGTACAAAAGTAAGCTCATTTCAACACAGTGCCAATTGTTTAGCCTGTATGTGCCGAGTTGCGGTCATTCTGCAAATGGAAGATATGGTGTGTCCCACTTCTGATGCATCCCAGATTCAGTAAATCCAAGCAATTGGAAGAAAGGGATGGGATGTGCAATCAGTGACTGGTAAATTCTCAGAGAAGTGCCTTGGGTGGGTTCTAGAACAGTTTGAATTCAAACCAAGTAACTACAGAACCTAGAAATTAATCCAAAAGATCTTACAATATTGGAGGAGACCCTCAAACCCAAATCCCAGATTAGTGCAGGAATCCAATTTCCCAATTCCAGTGTACCAAATAAATGACTCTCCAACTTCAAGTTGAAACCACCAATTAAATGAGAGCCTACCACCTTCCTTGGTAACTAGTATTGTGCAACTGGTATTGAAATCTGCCATCTTGTAACTTAAATCCTTGATTTCATGCCCAAGATTTTTGGGATAATAATGTCTTGGCTGCCTTCTATAGTACATCCCATCAGGTTTTTCCAAAATGATACCATATTTCCTCTTAGTTTCTTTTCTCAGAGGTGAATATACTTATTCTCTTTAGGTCCTCCATGTAGAAATTAGGCTTTCTATTCACACTCACTGACCTTTCCTTGACCTGTTCCTCTTTGACCCCTCTTTCAAACCATCTATGGGGCCATCTATGTCAAAATTGAACAGCCCTCTCTCAACTGAGGGGGAGGGATACAACATCATCTATCTCCAGCCTACAACACAGTCCTTTCAGCACTTCCAAGAAGGCTCCACGCCCATTTTCACTACTCAGGTGACCCTGACGGCACAGCTAAGCCTCCAGGTAGCATTAAAGACTTGCTAAAAGAATGCAAATGAACAGCTGTCTGCAGGAGTATAAATCCTTCCATTCCCCTCCATCCAGTCAGAGTTGAAGAAGCTTCTTGGATGAGAAGCGAAACAAAGTCTTCAAAGAAAAACAAAGTCCAGTTGCCTCTTGGAAAAGCATCTTTGGGATGACTATGACCTGGATGACTGAGAGTCTCCATAGACATTTAGCTTTTTGTAGACTTTTGTTGTTCCTTTACAGGCCTTCAAGGACTTAAATCCCTCCTTACTATTACCCGAGTAGAAAGAATATTCTTCACCATCTTTCTCTAACCTGCTTGAGTTTGTCTGAAAACTTTCAAATGACAGTGCTATTATTTCCTGTGATTTGTAAATTGTACTTTTGTTGATCCGTAGAGTCCTTTAAGGCAGCCTTACTTTTTAAAATTATGGAGCTTGAAACAGGTCATAAAACATCTTTCCTTGTGTACAGTAGCCAGTCTTGCTTTTTTTAAAAAAAAAAGTATTGATTTTTCAAAGATCGCTTAATGTTTTTGTCAATACATACACTATTGTGTAATGATTATATGCAATGGTTGTCTCCCTGTTAGCAAATGCTTCTTCCCTGAATTTGAATTCAACCTATACTTTCCCATCCCCTCAAGATTTATTTCTGAGATTTACCAGGTAGACACAAAAGGCAGAGCTAGTTAATTAGAGATGCTAGAGATTGATCTAAGGTTTTATGCATTTTCTCTGCTATTAAACTATGGATGCTGTTTAAAGATTTATCTTGTCTGGTCATAAAACCGATCCTTTCATTACTAGCTATACTGATTGGCGGTTTTTCATGGCCTTAGGCTAAAGAATTTGTGGAGTAATTGAAGACAAGAAGTGGGGGTGGGAGAACTAAATCTGAACCCTCTCCTTTTAAAAAGATTTTGCTAGCATTTGAGTCGTGGCTCAGGAATTCTGGGAGCTGGAAGTCTACAGGTCATAAAGTTGCCATAGTTGCCCACCCCTGCATTAGCGTGATAGTTAGAAACAAACGGGGGCACATAAAGCTCTATACCAGGGGTCTTCAACCTTGGCAACTTTAAGACTTGTGGACTTCAACTCCCAGAATTCGTCAGCCAGCTTTGCTGGCTGAGGAATTCTGGGAGTTGAAGTCCACAAGTCTTAAAATTGCCAAGGTTGAGGACCCCTGCTCTATACAGATGAGTTAAAGCTCTCTACAAGTTTCAGTGTTTGAGAGGCTGCCACAAACTATTTCTCAAAGCATCTGAAAGCAAGACAAGAAACAACAGATGGAAAGTAATCAAGGAGAGAGCAAACCTAGAACTAAGGAGAAACTTCCTGACAGTGAGAACAATCAACCAGTGGAATGGCTCTCCTGGAGGTAGTGACAGATTTTATCTTCCTGGGCTCCAAGGTCACCGCAGATGGGGACCGCAGCCAAGAAATTAAAAGACGCTTGCTCCTGGGGAGGAAAGCTATGGCAAATCTAGACAGCATACAAAAAAGCAGAGACATCACCCTGCCAACAAAAGTNAGAGGACAGGAAGGCCTGGAGAAACGTTGTCCATGGGGTCGTGATGGGTTGGACACGACTTCACAACTAACAACAAAAGATGAGGCAGAATAGTTCAGAGTTGTTTCAGAAGATAGGACAAGAAGACAAATTAAAACATAAGGAAATAGACTTCAGGTGGACATCAGGGAAAAAAATTCTTAATAATAATGATTCTTCAGGAGATGGTGGACTCACCTTCACTGGAGGTGTGTAAGCAGAGGCTGATTGGCAAGGTAACAGGAATGCTGTAGATTCATGAAATGGGGTTAAGGATGGATGAGATGATCTTCAAGATCCCGTCTAATTCTTACCTTTTATAATTCTTTAATGGAAGGTAATATTATGCTACAATAATCAACTAGAGATCATAGTTTAATGAACATACAAGTTGATAGACAACAAAGTCAAGGCCTGATAGAAAACACAGGATCATCAGAATGGTTTTGTTTGATAAAAATCATGAAAGCTTGAAACTCTGAAAAATAATATGATTGAGAATCATTCCTATCTTGCAAAAAATGTTACATTATATGAGATCTTCGCTCTTTCCATTATTTTTCTATGCAGAAAATCTCCTGATCGGTCTCCAGTACATTCAGCAAGTTGTCCAGTAGATAGAATAGAAGAAATTTTTGTTTTGCACTATTCACAGTTGCTGTATTCATGGGCTGGGTAGATCAACAGAATAAATCAATGTAGCAGTTTTATACATTCCCCATGTCAAGACAAATTTCATGCTGCGAAGGCACCTGCATAGCTGGCACTTCATAACAATAATATTTTTGATGCCAAGCTGTTAAGAGTTCTCCAGGGCAAAGTGCTGTGGAATTAATCAACTTTCAGAGCTTAGTTCTCATACAGAAATGCAAGGATAAGACGGACTAGCTGCTCAACTGGCCATTTCCAGGAGCAGAAAAAGAAAAAAGATGAAGCTTATAAAGAGAAATTAAATATATCTTTTTGCTTTGGGGCTTGCTTGACATATCAACAAAGTACCTCTTAAAAAGCTTTTTTTCCCCTTCTCCTTCTGGAGGCTGTTTTTAGGAACTCAAAAATACTCATTCATTTGTCCTGCCTTAACTCATCTGCATTAGATTTTTGGGTGCTAAAAAAAGTCAGAAAGCCTATTTAGCAAGACATCCTTAACAGCACTGCATATATTCATTCATTTAGTACCGTTGTTCATCTCCTTGCTCCAAATGGTCCAGAGGTTGATTTAATGCACTGAATCCAACTCTCTGACCGGTTCTGGAATCCCATTTAAAGCATCCCTGTCATTTATTCATTTTATTTATTAAATGTATATGCTACTCATCTTACTGTCCAGCATCCATGTGATAGATCAGCTTTGCTCAACCTTCGGACCTTTAAGATATGTGGAGTTAAACTCCCAGAATTTCCAGCCTGCATTTCTCACCCAGAATTCCCCAGCAAATTGAAGGGCAATTTACCAGCTGTCTGGAATAGAATAGAATAGAATAGAATAGAATAGAATAGAATAGAATAGAATAATGAAAGAATAGAATAGAATAGAATAGAATAGAATAGAATAGAATAGAATAGAATAGAATAGAATAGAATAGAATAATGAAAGAATAGAATAGAATAGAATAGAATAGAATAGAATAGAATAGAATAGAATAGAATAATGAAAGAATAGAATAGAATAGAATAGAATAGAATAGAATAGAATAGAATAGAATAGAATAGAATTATGGGATGGGATGGAATGGAATAGAATAGAATTATGGGATGGAATGGAATGGAATAGAATAGAATAGAATTATGGGATGGAATAGAATAGAATAGAATAGAATAGAATAGAATAGAATAGAATAGAATAGGAGCTGGAAGGAACCTTGGAGGTCTTCTAGTCGAGCCTCCTGCTCAAACAAGAGAACCTACAGTATACCATTTCAGACAAGTGACTGTCCAGTCTCTTCTGAAAAACCTCCAGTGATGGAGCGCCCACGATTTCTGAAGGCAAGCCATTCCACTGGTTGATTGTCCCCACTGTTAGGAACTGTTAGGATGCTAAATTCATACTGATTAACTCTTTGTGCTTCCTTTTAGCTGTGGGTCTCTCCAGCTGCCCAGAACCTGCTGTCCCCAGTAATGGCTTGAAAATTGGTGAAAGATACCTGGTGAATGATGTGGTCTCCTTTCAGTGTGAGCCAGGATATGCTCTCCAGGTACCTACCCACTCTCCAAATAGTTATTTAATTCTGAAAAAAATTGCCTTCATCAATGTACATTGAGACATGAGTATCACAGCCCATTCTGATATCTGGCTATCACGGAAAAGAAAAGATGAGAAGAAAATTATTATGTGAACTTTATACAATTAGTTCAGAGCAGTGTTTTTAAAGATACGTGACTTCTCAGAATTCCTGAGCCAGCATGCCAAGTTTGAAAAATACTTAAGTTGCCCAATTTGAAAAACACTGGCTTGGAAGAAGCTTGCCAAATCCTATCAGATGAACATGAATACTTTTTGACATAGAATACAGCAACTTCAGTTAAAATGAAGGCAATTGCGTCAGTGTGGTATGAAACTCTCAATCTCAATCATAGCACTTCCTAAATCGCTCAGTAGAACACTAGAGAAATATTTGGTACTTGAAGGCAAAGAATCTTATTGTAACTTTTGTGGCATAACATTCCTTTGAAGTCTCCTTTGACAAGACATCAGCATTAAACATAAAGAGCATCTGTAGGTGCCACTCAAATTACAGAAAGTGTAATCTTTCTAGGTTATCTTGGAGAGGTTGCAATCAAATTGTTCCATTTTTAACATCTTTGGTGAGGCTGCCTTTGGTTAAAAGTGTTTGAAGAACTCAGGAAAATTACTCAGTGAATTTGAGTAATTTGAGCCTTCCTGTTGCTTTGCGGTATAAAAATTGATGCAACATGAAGAATTGATTTCACTGCCTGTTGTTAGCTGCAAGGTATGTTACTGGAAAATACTGAAAAATCAAATTTACATCTTCCTCTGGATAATGGCATTTGGAAGTGTGGGAAATGCATTTTGCGGAAAAATTAATAACAAACCCAAACACTAGAATTGTAGAGTTAAATACTCCAGAATTAAAGAGAGGTACTGTGTGTTCAAAAATATTCAGATTTGTACCATATTTTACCATTTCTTAGATATACTTTTTTCACAATACATTTTTCTGTTAAATGTCATTCTGGGTAGAAACACTTTCAATACCCATATTCAATACTATTACTGAGCATCCTTTGAGCATCTCATATTTATTCATAAAATTGTGTTTACCTACACACACACATCTGTGTGCAGTATCTTTTTTTAAAAAAAAATTCCTTTGTTTTTTTGTCTATTTTTCTTTTCAAGTGTACCTTTAGCTCTTCTCTTGATGTTCTGCTCTGTACTCTAGAAAGAGTGCAGAGAAGTGCAAAAAAGAGGATCAGGGGACTGGAGGCAAAAACATATAAGGAATGGCTGCTGGAATTAGGGATGTCTAGTTTAATGAAGAGAAGGACGAGGGGGGACATGATAGCAGTCTTCCAGTATCTCAGGGGCTGCCACAAAGAAGAGGGAGTCAAGCTATTCCCCAAAGCGCCTGAAGACAGGACAAGAAGCAACAGATGGAAACTAATGAAGGAGAGAAGCAACCTAGAACTAAGGAGAAATTTCCTGACAGTTAGAATAATTAACCAGTGGAACCACCTGCCTCCAGAAGCGGTGAATGCTCCAACACTGGAAGTTTTTAAGAAGAGACTGGACAGCCATTTGTCCGAAATGGTATAGGGTTACCTGCCTGAGCAGGGGGTTGGACTTGATGACCTCCAAGGTCCCTTCCAACTTTTTATTGTTGTTGTTGTTATTATTATTGTTATTATTATTGTTGTTGTTGTTGTTGTTGTTGTTGTTATTATTATTATTATTATTATTATTATTATTATTATTATTATTATTATTATTATTATTAGAAAGAAAGCTATCTTATCTTAGAATTCCAGGCTGCAGTATGTATCACTTCCTGTCTTTGCTAAAGAATGTTAATTGGCTGAGATAGGTACCCTCCCTATTCTTTCTGTTTGGCCTGTTTCTCAGTTCTTTCTTGTTTTCTACTTGCTTATGGCTTCTTTCTTTCTTTCTTTCTTTCTTTCTTTCTTTCTTTCTTTCTTTCTTTCTTTCTTTCTTTCTTTCTTCTCTTGCTTCAGGGACACTCTCATATTTCCTGCATGCCTGGAACTGTGCGACGCTGGAACTATCCACCTCCACTTTGTATAGGTAAGAGTTTATGTAGTTCTTTGCTAAGGATCCTCCCTCCCCTCCCCTCTTTCTACCCTCTCTTCCTTCTTTTCTCCCTCCCCCCTTTCCTTTCCTTTTCCCTCTCTTCTCCTCTCCTCTCCCCTCCTTCCTTTCCCCAACAGCTGAATCCATTAATGAGGGTCGTTAGTTATTTAATATGTAGCTGACCTTTATTTTTGGACTCCTCAAATCAGTATATGAACCTGATGGGCCTACCTCCTGTTTTCCCATGAAGATTGGGTTGGTTTGAAAGCTGGCTTTTGTGCCCAATGGAGAATTGGAACTCATGATCTCCTGAGTTTTACCCCATCTGTCACATATTGACTTTCATTAGGAAGAGGATGATTGAATGGGGTACTGCAATGTGTTGCAGTCTTTCCTTGATATATCCGATCTAAGCCTTGGACTGAGGCCAGGGGTGGGCTTTCAGAAGCAAAAATACCAAAGATGGTAATCCTTGTTATATGTTGAGTTTTACTTCATGTGTAACATTTAGAATATTGCTTGACAAAACAACCGGACATAAAGATAGTTTTTTCCCATGTGCCATCGTTTTGCTGAACACTTAATTTCCACAGCACTATTTCATTTCTCATCTTTTCTCATTTTCTTGTCTTTCCTACTATCTTCTCCTATTGATTTCTCATGATGTATCAATTGTTGTTTGTAACTTATGATTAATAATTGTAACTATGATTATAACCATGACCTACTACTTGCTGAATATATGTACACTGTGAGCTTATGCACCGGAGGCAAATTCCTTGTGTGTCTGATCACACTTGGCCAATAAAGAATCTACTCTACTCTACTCTACCCTACCCTACCCTACCTTACCCTACTCCACTCCACTCCACTCTACTCCATTCCATTCTTCATGTTACATTCTGATGTTCCATGACTCACTCACAAGTTAGTGAGCATCTGAATGTTGAAGAAACCCTTTTGTGAAACTTTATTCTCATCTAATGCTTTTCTCATAATCTCTCATCTCTCTTTAAAACAGCAAGCTGTCTTGTAAGCTTTTGTGCTCAATTTTAGCCATCGCTTGTCTGTAGGAAACAAAGGTACCACAAATAAGTGTCTTTTTTCCAGACAGGAATGAGGTCAGTAATAGATGAATGTGTTTGCTACTTTGCCAAGATTACAAACAATACCTGAAGAACATCTGTTAGACTAGATCGTCAGTGATTTATGCAAGGGTGAGAATATTCAGTTTGTCTCCTCTGAAACATAGGATCTCCCCAGCTTAATGTAATGAAAGTCATCCTCTAAATGCTTCATTCCAGATTGTATACTCCATAGCCTATAAATAGAGGCTTTTTCTAGCAGTTATCTGTACATGCTTGTAGGATCCTATTCTGACTTTTGTGACATCAGTAGAATATTTTGCTGCAGCTGTGATTCTCTCTAATTTTCCTATTGGTTTTGTGGATTTATTAAAAAAAATAAATCTGAAACAATAATAGCTTTGATGCAGGAAGTGAAGTGAGGGAAGTACTTTGGAAGTGCCATCTTTTCTGGTCTGCATAATTGTTCTCCACGACAGGAATAAAAGCAACATTGTGCAATATGGAGGTAGAAACAGGAGATGATTCATTGATGTTGCTGTGAGATAGTCATTCATTTTTGGAATTCCCAGTTGATAGTCATTTGTCTCCAGGATATCTAATAGTACCTTCTTAGGTTGTATTAACCTAACATGACAGGCTAGGTTGAAATGGGTTTGGATAGCTTGTGGTAGAGTGTGTTCTCAAAACCCAACTATTTTTAAAGGTCTGTGGAGATTCTCAGTCATCCAGGTCATGGTTGTCCCAAAGGTACTTTTTTAAAGAGGCAACTGGACTTTTTGTTTTTGTTTTTCCTTGAAGACATTTCACTTCTCATTCAAGAAGATTCTTCAGTTGAGTTCAATTTTTTCTTCAAAGAAAAAAAAGTCCAGTTGCCTCTTGAAAAAAAAGCACCTTTGGGCCAATCATTTCTAGCATGCTAAGTGAACCACAACGAGCCTATTATAAACATAATATCCTTGATTTATCGATTGACAGTTACGTGAATGTGGCAACTGTGTTTTAGGGTTTGACGTTTTGTATGAATCAAGCTAGTGTTCAGCAAGAATTGGTATTTCCAGAGGCAGATCATGTTTTAATATATCTTTCTTTTCTAGTTGTGACTCTTCTGTCCTATGTTCTTTTCTGTTTTGTGTTGTCTTCTGTGTCTCTTTTTCCCCGTTCAGCCCATCAATATTTTGTTCCACTCAGTTATGAATAGTAATTGAAGGTGGCCTCCCCCTTATTTGCACTCCATCAGAACATTTTTATTATATCTGACTGCAGACCTCTGTTCCACAAATATGGAAACAGTTGAATCAATATTAGCATAAAACAGCGGAATCAGTGTTAGTATAAAAACCCTTGCCCTGTTTTGAGTAAAGGAACAAGTGACAGATCAGCTTAAAGGATGAGATCTTGCAAGTCACGTTCCCCACATGTAGAGAAACCCCTAGTGACTTTCAAAACATTGATCCACAATAGACGTGACACTGAACATACACTTGCATTGGATTGCACAACACCATCAGCACAGGAGTGAAATTTGACATGCAGCATGTAGTAAGCTACAGAACATTCCCATTAAGAGAGAAATTTAAAATAAATGCTGAATTCTCTGCGGAATAAGGGGAAGAAAGCAGAAGCCACATTTCTCGTAATGCTTTTTTTAAAGCTTGTTTTGTCATTTGAGTTGGTACATATGTTGCTGTTCTTGGTCTTGATGTTTCCCATTATTCATTATTTCAGTGGTCCCCAACTTTTGCAGCTTGGCGGTCCCTTCCAAACCTATTTTCCATGTTCTATGATTGTAAAACACCTAAATAAAAACCAATTTTGCGTGAGTTTGGTTTTTTTTCCTGTTTCCCTTTAGAAACAGGTTGCTTAATTTGTTGCATCAGTATGCCTGGTTTTCTGGCTGTACCTCCTGAATAAGAAATAGCCTTTAACAGTATGATTTCCTTTCTTGCTGAAAAGAAAATGATAGTAGAGAGGTATAAATATTGTTGTGTCACATTCCGAAAGACAGAAGCAATCAACTTTTGATAAACTGCTACCATGTCCCTACAAAATGGACTGGCTAGGGATTTCCCAGCTTCCTTTATCCAGATGTTCCCCTTTTTAAATAATTGAGAAGGAATTTCATTTAAACAGACATCAGGGGGTATGAAATTAGAAAGCAATAGAATCAGCAGGGGAAAAAATGCACATAATGAAGGGAATCAATGCTGTTGGATGTCAGGATAGATTTAAAGTATAGTCCTCTAGGTTCTGATTTAGGCTGTATTGAAGGGAGCTAGAAGTCTATTAGAGTCAAAGAAGTGGTTCCTGGATATTGTGTGCCCTTCAAGATATACCAGACTACGAATGTTAATTATGAATGCTAATATTATTTTTATTATATAAAAATATATTATTTACTAGCTGTACCCGGCCACGCGTTGCTGTGGCTCAGTCTGGTTAAATGGAAAAGAAAGAAAAGAGAAAGCGCACGTTTCTAATATGTTTAATTTCACAATGCTTGTGGGTATACAATATTTTTTGTTGTTCCATTGTCTGTGCATCAATTCCAACGCTATGTCACACAAAATAATTAAATCAAAATGAAAATAAATCGAAATCTATGAAAATTTAATTTAACAATGCAATCGGAAACATTGAAATGGAATCGTAAAATTGGAAATTTGGAAATCGTAAATGGATCATAAATCGGAAACATTGAAATGGAATGGTAAAATCGTAGCGTGTGTTGCTTTTACGTCCAACAGATGGCGCTGTTTTTCAAAAAAAGCATGTTTTACCTGTCACAGGTGTGACATCTATATAATAGTAGGTATATAAAAACACACGCGTATTCGAATGCACCGTTGTGTCAAAATTTCAAAGCAATCGGTGAAGAACTTTCGGAGATTTAAGATTTTGAACAAACGAACATTTACATTTTTATTTATATAGATTATTTTTATTGCAAGGCTTCAGTAAAAGAACCTTGCAGTCTGAATAGGCTTCATCTTCATGAGAACTAAGGAAGGTCAAGCTTGAGACAGTTACTTTCTCAGATTACAGTTCAACTCTGGACTCAGATTTCTTTTATCCAATCACCGTTTTGATTGTGGCTTCCACTGTGTAGTTGTGGCCACCATATCGATTTTTTTTAAACATCCTCCTTCATGGACCCACCCCTCCCATCCCCAGCAGGTGTGCCAAAAAACCACTACTCTGATAAACTTGGACACAATTCATACTAGGTGAAGCTATCTTGCTAGTTTGACCTGGAGGATGAACAAATGTGGGCTAAGTCAGAGGTCCCCAACCTTGGCAACTTTAAGACTTGTGGACTTCAACTCCCAGAATTCCTCAGCCAGCTTGGCTGGCTGAGGAATTCTAGGAGTTGAAGTCCACAAGTCTTAAAGTTGCCACGGTTGGAGACCCCTGCGCTAAGTGATGTGTAATGGAAGAACTGGGATCAAGCCCTAGGCTCCCTTCATGAAGGATGGCTGCCTTCTGACCTCACTAAAATCCCATTTCAGTATATTATGGCTTCATTTTAAATTTCAAATAAAGAATTTGTACATTTGGTGAGGGTCTTGGAATCACATGTTCTCTATGAACCACCAGCTGCTAGGCCTGACTTAGCTGAATATAGTTCAATCTGTCTAGCAGTGGATTTGGCATCCCCTACCCAACTTTTTAAAGATATTCTAAATGTGGAACGCAGAATCTTCTACATATCAAGCCTGTGCCCCGACCGTCAACTCTTTCTTCAGTTGTCCTGACTGACAGTCAACCCAAAGAGAAAGACATCTGAAATAGCGTATGACCATCTGATTTATTGTAATTTTAACAGCCCAGTGTGGAGGAATCTTAGAAGAGATGGAAGGTGTCATCCTGAGCCCTGGCTTTCCTGGAAACTACCCTAGCAACAGTGATTGTACCTGGAAGATATCCTTTACTGTGGGATTTGGTAAGGAAATCACAGCATCCTTCCCATCTCTTTTCAGATACTTTTCATGGACTGATCCAGGACAGGCCAACCCTGAACTCCTTGGTTGGTTGGTTGGTTGGTTGGTTGGTTGGTTGGTTGGTTGGTTGGTTGGTTGGTTGGTTGGTTGGTTGGTTGGTTGAATGAGTGAATGAGTGAATGAATGAATGAATGAATGAATGAATGAATGAATGAATGAATGAATGAACGAAGGAATTAATATATGGATAGAGTTTTTATTTTAAAGAGAAAGCATTTTTGACTTTCGAGGATTTGTTTAACAAAAGCTAATGGAGTAGAAGAAAACAAAGATAGCACTGGGGAAACAATAGTTCAGAAAGTACCACTTCACTTTTTCTAGAATTTCTTCGGTAGAGCTTTCACATTCTAAATCTTCCACCAGCAATTGGTTGAAGACCCTTTCAAGACTCTTCGAGACTTCCTACAGATAATTGGGAAGTATTCACAATAGTGACATCTTAAAGCGGGGATGTTGAAAATAGTCACGTGCGTGTAATAGTTATCTGGAATGTTTCCTTTTTCTTCTTGAAATTTTCATTTTACCTGCAGAAAACCATTTCTTCCTTCATGTTCCAGATGATACCCTTCCAAGAATGCATAAACCAGTCCTGGATCTCTCAATTTAACCTGTTTCAGAGGGGAAACCAGAACATTCTGGATCCAGACTTTTCCATTTTGTATATTTGTTTCAAAAAAATAGATGAGTTTGGTCCAGAATAATGAGGTGGAAGTTCTCTCTAACTACTATCATCTCCTTAACTGTCTGTTGTAAGGCATTTTGAATTCTAATCCCACTTTTGCACGAACACCTTCACACAATATATTCACATATATTTCTTCTTAAAGTGGTGTTTTTTTTTCCAAATGGTCATTTTTCTTTGATATTTTTCTTTTCTTAATGGGTTTTGGCTGATATTAATAGTGAAAATAGGAATATTCAACCCCTATTTAATCCAGTAGTTTTATCTAAGGGCCATATAGATAACAAACATTACTTTCTATGCGGCTTTAAGTATGCCAATGATATTTTTTTCTATTTTTTAAGAACATAGACATTGTTCTATTTTAATGTATTATTCTGCACTTGTTATTTCTTTTAAATAAATAATCATCATAATAAAAATAATTGCATGCAAGACCATTTGAAAGTCAAAAATAACACTTGATCCAGAAGCTGATGAACCATTTTTAAATTTGGTCATAAAATGTAATGAGTTTTTTTAATGAATGCTATATCCTTTCCAATAAAAGTTGATGAGCACTTTTTTCTTAAGTTTTGGATTCTGTGTAGGCTTCTTCTCCTCCTTCTTTCTCCTTCTCCTCCTTTCTTCTTCTTCTTCTTGGTAGTGGGGAGATTGTCCTATCTAATTGTCACAGTTAAATCCAACATGCAAAATCCAAATGACCACTGATGGTACTGGAGGAACGATGTAGGTAAGCCATGAGTGGCTGGTACTCCATGATCCAACATCCAGACAAGGGACATCTTTCTACAAGTCAATTCACTGTC